CCAGATGCTAATTAGCTTTGCTGAGTGGGAGAAGAAAAGGCCAGGAAGGGCGTCCAGGGAAGATCACTGAGGGCCTGAACTACTGCGTGATGGTGAGAAGACCAAGAAGGGGACTCAGGTGGGCACTGGCAAGGGCTGAGATCAGGCACCTCTCACAGGGCCAGTCATTCATGTGCTGGATTCCAAGAGGTTCTAGGTCCGTGCCCTTCCCAGTGTGGCGCCTTAAACATGTTGGTGGAAGAGTAGTTCTGGAAGCATCACTCTGGGAGTTGGAAAACCCCAGATGAGACTTCCAGCTTTGCCACTGGCACACAGAAAATAGGATGGAAGTTCCCTTGTCTCCAACAGTCCTGTAGTCCCCTTTTGCTGGACCTGGTTAGCCAGGAACTGAAGATCTTATCACCAAGTTCACAGTCAGCACTTACAGCTCCTTAAATGTCCACAAGTAGAACAGGCGGTTGGAGATTCCTCCCAGTTACTACAGAAGATTTAACAAATACAAACCTGCAAACTCTTTATTAAATTCTCCCATTTCATCTGTACAGAAAAAAATGCACATTATGTTCAGAATCTCAGTAACATTTCAAAATTACACAGCATGAACATGTAAAAACAAGGAACTGCCGGGCTTTTATACATAAGAAAAGAAACCCATTTACAAGAGGCTTGTTAATTGTACTTTTCTGTCAAAAAACAAAACAAAACAAAAACTCAATTAAAAAAAAAAAAAAGAGGCCTAAGATCTCACACAGCACATGCCGTGCAGTCTGTCTTCTGGCTGGGACCAACCTGGGGTACTGTACTGGGGAGCAGGAGCTCAGGTAGTCTCCTGCTGCCAAGTGTACTGCAGCAGGACCCAGGGGACCGATTCCAACCACCCTGCTTCCTGAAAGAAGGGCTCTGGGGTCCAGATAGCACTTCTGGATTGGGGGAAGGCAAAACATGACACAGAGGTATGGTCTAGGTTTCCTTGCTGGGCAGGCTACCTAGTCCTGGTGCCCACCAGTGTGTGTGTGTGTAGATGTGAGGCAAGAAGGCCCTGTCAGCATCCTGTCACCACCTGACTGCACAGTGACAAACAGCCCTTGGGTCCTCACAGCAGTCTCAACTGAATGGCTTTGGGGAGCATGTCACCCTGAGGTTCTGTCTGGGCTTGCTATGACTTGCCTGTTGTGTGAGGACTGGGTAGTAAGGGGAATTTGGCTTCACCTCTATTGCCCCAACACATGACCCTGGTGGAGGGATCAAGGGGGAGTGTGGTTAGATAGATGTCAAACTGGAGGCAATGGAGGGAAGGAAAGGCCAGTACATTAGATCCAGCCTCGCATCCTTTAAAGCCAATGACAGAAAGGAGTTAGGAAAGAGCACCCCAATGGCCCAAGAACTCATGATGCAGTTTATAAAACCATTCTGGTGTGCCCAAAGGGTGACAATCAGAGAGCATTTTGAAATAAAGTAAACACACCAAATGCACATAATTCAAAAAGCTACCTCCTTCCTTTGGATGTATGGCCATAATTTAGGGTACAAGCTGGGCTGGCTGACTTCTGAGGGCCCCAGGCCAGTTTTCTTCTGAGACAGTAAGACCTGTTACACATGGAAGAAGCTTGTTTTTGTGATGAGACAGGGGAAGGAATGGAAGAGAAGGAAGGACTTTGTCAGAGAGAGTAGAGAACAGCGAGGCCCAGAAAATGCCCCCATGACTCATTACAGAGGGGTTCTGTAGGGCAGCCTGGAAGTGGGGAGGATGGAGAGAGTTCCAGAAATCACACTGATGCATAAGAGTGAACCTTTTTTTAGTAAGGTCAACGGACACTAACCACCTAATTCTCTTCCTAATTTGTCTGATAAAATATAAATGTAGATGTCTTTGTCATTGGAGTTTTTCTATCAGGTGACCTCAGGAAACAGGAAGTCATGAAATCGGATAGTAACTTTTGCCACATCTTCTAGGACAGTGGTCTCTTCCCTACACTCTCCCCAGCTCTGAGCAGGCCCAGTAGTTTACTGTCCCCAGGAGAGTTAGGTCAGGAGGAGACAGCCAGGGTGGCTGCAACAGGCTTCTGACAACACTTGATACCAGGTAATCAGTAGACCTAGAATGCTCCTAGCTTCTGCAGACGCATTAACTCAGACCAACCCACTGGATCCACAGGACTGGGGCTGGAAGTGGCAAAACATCTCCTGGTAATGCAAGGGATGAGGACTTTCCAGGGAGTGGACCCAAGCCTTTGGTATGGCTTTTCTGTCAGCATGTCTTGTCTGGTATCCCTGCCTTGGGATAGCAGCAGTGGCAGAGAAGTCCAGCAGCAATGGTGCCAAGGTAAAGACATGTTTTGCTCATGGAGCTTCTCTTCTGTGGGAGAGTCCCATCAGAGGAAGTTAGTCTTGTTCTTGGCGTTCTGTCCAGATTTCTGCCCTCCTGTTTGAAGTGCCTCTGGCCTAGGTACCTGGCATCAGGAGCCTATGGAAGGTGGTAGAGCACTGGGTGTAAAGAGTTCCTGAGACAGTGGGGTGAGCTGGCAAAGCCAGATGACAGTGAACTGACTATGACAGTTGTGAGCAAGTGCCCGGAGCCTTAGTCTTGGCCCAAACCTTATCCACTCTTAAATTCTTACATGGGGGTTAGGCATCAGTAGAATAGATAAAGGTCAGAGTTCATCATTGGCTCCTGCAGTAGGGTCAGTATTCTTCTTGACTAGTTCTTGAATGGCTGATTTATATCCACAATTGACCTATGAGGCCAGGGATGAGTGGTGCTGCAGACTCATGCCCTATGAGCTAGAGTGGATGTGATTGGGCTGCCTGTACAAATTGTGCCTGGACTTAGACTAGAAAAACTTGCTGAAGACCAGAACAGGGGCTCTCAAGAGCCAGTCATAGGAAACTCAAAGGAGGATGGCAAACAGTTCCTTATACCAAAACAATTCAATAGAAAGTTACCCTTTCTGTTCTGACCATTTGTTTTTTTTTGTTTTTCTTTTTTTGGTGGAACTGGGGTTTGAACTCAGGGGTTTGCACTTGCAAAGCAGGTGTTCTACCCCTTGAACCATACCTCCAAGTCCATTTTGCTCTGGTTATTTTGGAGATTGGGTCTTGCGAACTATTTGCTCAGCCTGGCCTCAAACTGTGATCCTCTCAATCTCAGTTTCCCAAGTAGCTAGGATTGCAGGTGTAAGCCACTGGTGCTGGGCTTATTCTGACCATTTCTAAGATGACAAATATTTCAAGAACCAAGCTCATCAAACCTCCCAATCTGCTGCAGACAACCAATGAGATTTTCTATAGTTTAGAAAGAACAAAAATATTGTGATGCATGTATGTTTTAAATACATTGAGAGGGAGGCTGCAGAGGTGGAGAATGACAGTCCCCACCCTGGACTAAAGGTGATCCTATCCTGCAAACAACAGTGAGGTGCCAGGGGGCCTGCATTCTATCATGTTCCCAATTCTGGATATAAAGTCTTAGTGAGCCTCATAAGAATCCCTGGAGAGGGAGGGACTCCCTTGACCAGCTCAGGTCAGTCAACAGCATGGGGGTGCTGCTGGCACTGCAGGTGTTTTAAGTCTAATGAGAATGAAGAATCAGGAAGACCAGAAGAGCCGGAATGAGGGGACCAGGCAGGTTAGCAGCTAGGCTTATTTCACCCTAGACAGGGGACATATAGCTGGTTTCTGGAGCCTATTGCTATAAGGAAATGCAGCAAAAAAGAAGAAAACCACGGAATTCAAATGTACGTCAGTCAGGTTAAACAAAGAGTAATTGGGATGGATCCACAACTGACACAGCTTGCGCAGCACACGTTGCTCAGGTGCAGCAGCACTCCTGGACAGTACAAGTAGGAGGCAGGAGGAGGAAGGCCACCTCAAGGGGGCCTCAGTCTATGCGGACAGTTTTAGGCACGTGATTCATAATACTTTGTGGACATCTAACAGGTTAATAAAATATATATTATATAAATATATTTCCTACTGTACATGCTGCCCTTCTGTACAGCCACGGTGATGCCATGCCCTGAACTCAACCAAAGGTGAGGCAGGTTAAGCTGCAATGCCTGGGCCCCTCCATCTTATGCCCCAACCCTGACATCTCCATGCTGAATGAATGAGGAAAGATGGCTGGCAATATTGCTCCTGTAATGCTCAGATTCTGGAAAGGTTGACCAATCACCCAAATACGTTGAGCCTAGTACTAGAGTGGGTACATGCAGAAAATGGACAGAAATAAAAGAAGGGAGAAAATTCTCCATCTTTTAATGCAATCACTTTCCACAACCCTCCACACAGAGGCACAAAGGAGTGTGTCTGGAAAGTCTACCTGGAGTGTGCAGAAGGTCAGGCTGCACTGTCAGTCACACCCTGAGACCACACTAAATCTTTATCAGCCATTGTCTCTGGCCTGAATTGTAGCCTGAAAAATAAAGTGACCCCCACACCCCCTTCCTGCCCTACCCCCACACCAGTCTTATAGGACCCTCTTAGTCTGTCTTCCAGTGAAGCAGAGAACTTCTGGAGTGAGGGCATCCTCAGCGGGGCCAACAGAAATATGACAGTCCTCTGCCATCCTGGAGGAGGAAGGTGATGGGAATCCAGCCTCTGAGTGCAGATAAGTGGACTATCCTGCTTCACAGACTTCCAACCTCTCCCCGAATGACTTGTCCTTGGCCTTTCTGTACTGCAGTTAAATCATAATACCCATAAGCCATGGGACTGTGACCAGCAGTGGCTCATTTAGGGTGGGAGCAGGAAGGGATTGCTGCTTCAGCAGAAGCAGACAACCCAAAGCAGGCTGGTTAGTGTTTCCCACTATTTGGTGAAGTCCCTGCCCTGATCTGGTCCAGAGGTGCTTCTGGGAGATAAGCCAGACTTCAGTAATCACATACTGCTTGTGTGTGTGCGCCCTCCAAGTCCTGCCTTCATCTGACACAATTACATGGAAGAAATAACCCATTGTCCAAGTCAAGCCTAGAGATGTGTTATATATACATTTTTTTTCTTTCTTTAAAAATTTCTTTTTTTGTTTTTTTTTTTTTTTTTTTGAAAAAGCATTTGAGTTGCAGGTCAGGAGAGTTGTTTCTGGAAGTACTGGTAGTTCTGTTGTCTACAGGCAGGTAAACCCAAAGTTGCCAACAAAGGCTACCACCAAAGCGGCCAGCTGCTGATGCTGCACAGACGGCTAGGAGGAAGAGGACACCATGGGCGAGACCAAGTCTGGACGGGACAATGCAGTGGGCACCTGCTGCTGCTCTACTGTAGATGTTGGTGCCACCTCTTAGAAGGGTGAGGTGAGAGGGTACACTATACAGGAAGGCTGTACAAACTGGGCACTGGGCAGGTAGGTCCTTTGGTGATCAAGGTGGCTCTACCTGTCCTTGAGCTCTCGTGTAACACGCTTGGTGATGCGTCCACACATCAGGCCAATCAGGAACAATATGCAGATGCTTCCACTGATCACAGAGAGGATGTAGTTCTTAGATGGGGATGTCATCACTTGCATTGCAAGATCAGAGAAGCCATCTGCTGGAGCCACCTGGAAGGAGACAGCAATGTGACCCTCTGGGGAGAGCTGGGCAACTGGCAGTTCTAGGTCTAACTTGTTCCCTCAATTCCTAGTTTATGTCTTTTCTTTCAGGGAAGGAGACAAGAAAACCAACATGAAGCTAATTCTTTTCCTGATCATAAAACTGCATGTCTACTGCACAAAATTAGACAGAGAAAGAGCTGGAGGAGTGGCTCAAGTAGTAGAGCACCTGCCTAGAAAGTGTGAAGCCCTGAGTTTAAACCCCAGTACTGCCAAAAAAAAAAAAAAAAAAAAAAAAAAAAGACACAGAAAAACATAAAGGGCTGTGGTCACCCCCTAATTCTTTCATGGGTAACGACCATTGTTAACAAACTCATGGCTCCTTGCACTGTGGACATGACCATGTTGGTTTGAGAAAAGGTTCCTCATCTCTTCCCTAGTTTACCATTCACAACAGCCCAATGGGGAGACCGAATTATTTCCACACTACAAATGAAGATATGGTGGCCTGGGTTGGGGTGGTTATATAACTTGCACAAGTTTTTCATCAGGTTGGTTGCTTTTTTTGTGTGTGTGGGTGGGGGAACTGGGGTTTGAACTCAGGGCCTCACATTCAGTAGGCAGGCACTCTATGACTTGAGTCACTCTGACAGCCCTTCTTTGTGTTGAGTATTTTTGAGATAGGGTCTGGAGAAGTAGTTGCCTGGGCAGGCTTCAAACTGCAATCCTTCTGATTTCTACCTCTCAAGTAGCTATGATGTAATCACAGGTGTGAGTCACCTAGATTTCCAGTAAGAATAAGACCAGTCATGTCTCTGACAGAGTCTGGAAACGAACAGAAAAGATGGCCATGTCCGAGCCTCTCTTGGTCTTACCTTTGCGGCATAACTCCACATCTCAATCCGGTCATTGAGGCGCTTTTTGCACTCGGGTTGTAACCTCACCCGCTTATCCTCTAGGGCCTCCATTAGGCAGGACATTTCTGTGGGAGCAAGTGGGAAGAAACATCTACAACTATACAGAACAGACTTTACATTTCTGTAAAGCTGGGGAGAAGGATAGCCAACCCAGGGGACTCAGATCTTTTGGCTTAACAAATCAAATCTATTCTAGAAAAAATTGACCCAATATCTAACATAGTGAGGGTGGAATACAGCTTCCAGAGTTGGCTGTTCAGAGACCCTCTTACCACGTCTCTTATTTTTATTTGGCATGCCTGGTTCAGAAACGTTTACACCCACCTGGGTTCCATCCTCACAGAGAACCTGCCTATTTTGCCCACTGTGGTCCCTGGGAAAGCTTAGTCTGGCCAAGGGAGAAGAGAACCATGAAGGTAACCATTGCTTTCCTGATAAATAACTCACTTCCCCCTTTTCACCAAATTTTTAGTTCTAGTCATCGTTAAGTCAGTTTAAACCTGTAAGACTACTTCTAAATTCATTATGCCATAAAGGCCTAGTTTCTGCATCAACCAGGTCCCAAGGGGATGGTTGCCTATGGCTGGCCTGCAGCCACAGAACAGAGTAGCTGCAAGGGCTAAGAGAGTTCAGAGAGGGCCAGATGAATAAACAAGAGACTTACGACGTCCACGGCCAGGGGTGATGGCTGCACAGTGGTGTTTAATGTCCAGGGCACATGCTGTGTGAAGAACTGGGTCCACAAAGATGTCTGCTTTGCTCTCCTTCAGCATGTTCAGCACTTCCTGGAAAAGGAAGGATCATTTTAGAGAGAGCTTTCACAGAGGAAATGCATCAGGTTTGCAAATCCTTTACATGCAAATGAGCAGGTCAATGAGGGAAGGCTGAGAGTTAACTACAGATACTCTGGGATAGGGTCATGATATACAGAAATGAAGATTTTGGCATCTAATTTAATTCACCCACTCACTTCCTCTAAGGGATCCAGTATGGGCTACAGAAAGCTAAGGAGAGTGTGTAATATTCACAAGTGGGTTTGTGGCACTGCAGTATGCCATGTTATTATAAAGTTCCTAACTATTAGTACTGTGTGCTTTTTTTTTTTTTGGGTAGTATAGGGGTTTGAACTCAGAACTTCATACTTGCTAGGCACGCGCTTTACTGCTTCAACCATGCCTCCAGTCCTTTCTGTTTGGTTTTCTGGAGTCAGGGTCTTGATTTTTGCCCTGGTCTGCTGGACTGTGACCCTTTTTTAGGCTTCCCACTTGCTGGGATGACAGGCATGTGCCACGATGCCCAGCTTTCTTCCATTGAGGGGGTCTTGCATACTCTTTTGCCTGGGCTGGCCTCAGATTGGGATCCTCCCAATCTCAGCTTCTCAAGTAGCTAGTGTTACAGGTTTGAACCACCAGTGCCTACCTTGTTAGTATTTTTTTTTGCTGCAATGAAGCTATTTTGTTACTTTAGGAAATCTGAAAAAAATGTGATATTTGAAAATCAGAGTGATAGACTGTATTAAAATTCCCCAAAAGCTGGGTGCCAGTGGTAGAGCACCTGCCTAGTATGCATGAAGCCCTGAATTCAAACCCTAATACTGCCAAAAAAAAAAAAAAAAAAAAAAAAGACACAAAATGACCAAAGCAAAATGAACTGAAGGTGTGGCTCAAGTGATAAGAGTGCCTGCTTTATAAGTGTGACAATCTGAGTTCAGACCCCAGTCTCATCAAAAAACCAACCAATCAAATAAGGATATATTTTCTTCATGAAATGTTTCACTTTACCTCTGCCACCCCCAAAAAGAGAAAAAGGACAGAACATAACTTCTACCACGAAAGTAATTATTTGAATTTAAAGATGCTCTGAGCAAAAAGATAAAAACATATTAGAACTGATGCTACATTTATTTATTACTAATTTTATTTTATTTATTTATTTTTTTGTGGTTCTGAGGTTTGAACTCAGGGCCTACACCTTAAGCCACTCCACTAATCCTCTTTTTTGTGATGGTTTTTTCGAGATACAGTCTCGGGAACTATTTGCCCCGGTGGCTTCAAATTTCGAACCCCCTGATCTCTGCCTCCTGAGTAGCTAGGATTATAGGTGTGAGCCACCAGCGCCTGGCTAGATGCTGTATTTACATATGATGAAAATTATAGGGGGCAAAGACAAGTCAGAAAAGTGTATGTATGTATGTGTGTGTTTATCTATCTATCTATCTATCAATCACAAATGCATAGTGCTGGATATTAAACCCACAGCTCTGCTTGCACTAGATAAGTACTCTACCACTGTGCTGTATCTGCCACTGAGCTAAAACCCCAAACCCAGCAATGCATTTTTAAAGTAACATTTTTATTAGTTTTATATTGGTTTTCCACAGGGAATTCATTGTGATATTTGCTTATAATGTTTCTTCATTATATTCACTCTCTCCTTTTTACGCCCCCTCCCCGCCCTCCAGGAGCACTTCTTAATAAAAATTAGTTTGCTCTCAACAGAAGTAGTTCTGTAAGACAGCAACAACAAAAATAAATACAAAAATTTCCCCCAAAGACTGAACATTGTTAAAAAACCCTCCCCAAAGTTATATGGGATCATGGGATGACAAAGCAGGCAAAGGAAAACATGTGGATGAGAAAATGTGCAAATGACATTCTCCATAACTCAACAATGACATCAAAGAAACCCTCTTTTAAACAAGATTTAATTTTTTTTTTTTTTGGTAGTACCAGGGTTTGAACTCATGGCTTCCTACTCGCTAAGCAAGCACTCTGCCACTGGAGCCATGCCTGAGCCCTTTTTGGTTTAGGTTATTATTTTTTAGATAGGGTCTCACATTTATTGTGCCTGGGGCTGGCCTGGACTGTGATCCTTAAGATCTCTACCAGGCCCTGTGTAGGTGGGGTTATAGGAATGAGCCACCATACCTGGCCTAAGATTAAGATTTAAAAAAAAAAAGTCAGGCTCAAGAGGTAAAGCACCTGCCTATGAAGCATGAGGGCCTGAATTCAAACCTCAATACAGCAAAAAAAAAAAAAAAAAAGTCAAATTTTCATTTCAATATTGCAAGATAATGTATGCTTAGCAAATTTTGATAATTTGTTTTTATTTGGTATTTCTGAAATGAACTAAAATTTTAGTTTCTTACATTTTCATGAATGTACAACACTTACTGACATGGTGGTACTGCCATTTTGTTGATAATGCACTCACAGTACCCTCGGTCTAGCTGTCGAGTGACATATTCACACATAATTAGTCTAAGTGAAAGAACAGTCAAGTCACAGGAAAGTTATAGGCTAATGGCCCAGGACCAGATTACAGTTTGGTAAGAGAGAATAGATTTTTTATTATTTATTAAGGAGTGGATTAAAAGGAAGAAGAAAGCCAGGTACCAGTGGCTCACTCCTATAAATCAGCTACTTGAGAGGCTGAGATCAGGAGGATCATGGTTCAAGAGTAGCCCACGCAAATAGTTTGCAAGACCCCATCTTTCCAAAATAACCAGAACAAAATGGACTGGAAGTGTGGTCCAAGTGCCTACTTTGCAAGTGTGAAGCACTGTGTTCAAATACCAGTCCCATAAATCAATACAAGGATCAAGCAATCAATACAAGGAAGAAGAGACAAAGAGGGACAAAGCTGGGGGAATATGGCTGTGGTTCTAGGTATTGGGGAGGTAATACAGGAGGGTCACTTTTGCTTAAGAGTTCAAGGCCAGCCCTGGGCAACACAGGAGGATCCCATTTTGGGTGTGGAGAAGATAAAAAAAGGGAGGCAAAGGAAGGAAAGAAAAGAAGGCTATAATGGTTACCTTTTCTTCTTTTATTTTTGTTTACAAATTGTGTGGGCAGGGGACATGGCTCAAATGGTAAAATGGCAGAGCGCCAGGCTAGCAAATGCAAGGTCCTAAGTTCAAACTCAGTCTCTCTCCCGCCCCCCCCCGCCCCCCGTACTGCCCCAACAAAATAAACTTTGGGGGAGCGGGAAAGTTGGTGCATCCAAATCTGGACATGGAGGCCACTGGACCTTGTCCTGTCTGCACAGCTATGGTAACGTTTATCCTTGCCTCTGGAGCAAGGCTTCCTTAGTGCAGAGCAAGAAGTGGAACAGAAGTTCTGACCTAAAGGGCCCCCTGTGACAGACTGTGAGTTTCCACCTTTAGGGGCACCCTTTCTTGGCACTCCTCCAACTCTGGGAGCTCTACTCTCCCACTTTACACTTTTCTTTTTTTTTTTTTTTTTTTTTTGCGGTACTGGGGCTTGAACACAAGGCCTAAACCTTGAGCCACTCAACCAGCCCCATTTGGTGAAGGGTTTTCTCGAGATAGGGTCTCGAGGAACTGTTTGCCTGGACTGGCTTTGAACTGCAATCCTCCCCATCTCTGCCTCCTGAGTAGCTAGGATTACAGGCATGAGCCACCAGCACCTGATCACTTTACACTTTTCTGTCTCAATAAACTCTCCCACTTTACACTTTGAGAAAAAAAAAACAAGTTGTGCAACCTTCTTCAGTGATCACAGCCCACAGGCAAGAAAGCTGGGCAGAGGCTGCAGTTCACTCTGGCATGGGTACACTATAACATTACCTTTTTACACACTTCTGTTTTGATCTTGAGCAGGTTGACCTTGAGGCATTCCTCCACTTGACCTGTCTGTTCCTGGGCTGCTGCTTCTTCAGCACATAAACTGGCGATCTGGTCAGAAGGCACAAGAAAACAAGGCCACCCACTGAGGACAGAGAGAGCAAATGGGGCCAGATGTAGTGGTACATGCCTATAATCCCAACACTTGAGAGGCTGAGGCAGGAGGATTAAGACTTCAAGGTCAATCTGGGCTGCAGAGTGAGACAATCTTAACAAAAGAACAAACAACTTCCAGATGAGCATGGTGAGTCCAACCTGTTCTGGATAAGCAGTGTCTGTGCTGTTTCTGCACTGGCCCACTGCTGACAAGTGACAGGGAAGGGATAGCACTGGTGTCGCCAGAAACCTGTGCCTCCCACATGTTGATATGACCTTCCCACGTGAGTACCCAGGGCTCAGCTCAGAGCGTCCTAGTGGAGTGTGCACTCCTTCCTCCCTCCCATGCTGGAGGCCAGGCTCCCAGGCTCCAGTCTCCTTCACAACTGGCAGTGTTTAAAGCTAGTAAATACACCCATCTCTTCATTGTCAATCCTGAAACTGGAGTGAGACTGTCCCGGGACTTGTCACAAAGACTACTCCTGAATACCACCAGCAGTTTGATAGTAAGTAAAATCCAAAAGCAAATGCTTAACTTGTACAGAGTTCAGACTCACAATGTGAAAATGAACATGCATATAGATGAAGAGCTCTGGCACAGCCTATACTAAAGATGACAAACTTCACTTTCTTTGGTCGGTTTTATGGGTAAGCTTTTGTAAGATGAGCGGGATCGTCACATGGCCTTTTGTAGTTAGGCAGTCAAACGATTTCAAAGGACAGGCAGTGCTTTAGAGCTATTATGAGAGCACTTTCATTTTTCTAGCAAGTCTTGGGATGCTGAGTTGACCATACAGAACAGGGAGAAGGAAAGAACAAATCACATGTGGAATCAATAAGCTTGTTCAACAGAGAAGTATGGAACCCACACTGTAGAGTGATAAACCGATGCTAAGTCCAGTTCAGCTTTACACAGAATCTGGAACTCAGACAATGGACATCCTAGAAGATGGGCCTGCAACTAAGATGTGTTCAGGGTTAAAGGGAGCTAAATTCCAGTGAAGAACTTTCCTCCTATCACACCTTCTCTGAGTAGCTTTGTCCATATCCAGCTTTGCACCTGCACCCTACCTCATCCGAGCAGTGCAGCTGCAGCTGCGGGTCGAGGCGGTAATCCAGAGCGGATTCCTGGATGATGATTCGGATCTGGTCTTCACAGTCTGAAGACAGGCGCTACATTCGACAAAGGGAGAACATATCATTTTTATTTGGCTCCTTAGCCCTGAGAAAGGCACAGAAAAGGGCTTGGGAAATAAGAGCAAGGTGGGGAGGGAATCCACAAAGAAAACTCCCAGGGACAGAGGTGGCTGTGTCAACACACCTTTGTGGAAAGCCTGGTAAGTTTACCTGGTCTGCATATCTCAGCTTGAGACACGAGATGACTTGGCCTTCTAGTTCTGAATCATCCTTGGCCTTGGTCAGGATACCATGACAAAATTTAGGAATGTCAGCTTTACAGGCTTTCCTTAGCACAGGGTTTAAGCGGTAATCTAGAACAGAAATAATCAATACATGATAAAATATTCCACCTGGAAACTTTCACAAATTCTTAGGAATCCATCTTCCAAAAGAGGGCATATTACATTAATGGCTGTAACTACAAACTCTACTTTGCTTATTAAGATAAAAAGCCACTGAGCTTTCACTGCACTGTTTTCTTATTTTTTTTGGTGAGACAGAGTCTTGTGTAGTGCGAGCTGGACTTGAACTTGCAATTCTCTTGCCTTAGCCTCCCAAATGCTAAAATTATAGGCATGTACTGTTATGCCCTGCTCTCCACCGTTGTTAATCAGCAACATGTCTTGTTTAAAGAGCACTTCTGCAGGTCCCTAAGAATCCTTCCAGTCCAATATTAAAAAACCAAGTAGACATCAGCAAACTTGTTCATAACATTTTTGCAAACATGAAGAAAAAAATATTCAACACACTTTGCCCATTAAGCTACAAAGTCTAGCAACCCAGAGCTGAAGCTTCTCTGTTCTAAAAAGACTACCCATATATTCTGCTATAGTCATGAATTGTATTAAATCTCTAGGTTTTTTTTCCCCCAAGGAACTCTATCCCTGATTCCTTTTGTATGTTTTCAAGACCAGTTGTCCAGATTTTTAGTCTCCTCTTTCCTTTGACCTTTTATACTATTTTTCCTAGATGCTCTTCAAAGGAAGAGGAAAGTACTGTTGCTTATATTGAGACTCTTTCCCTCCCTCTTTCTCTCAACAGTGCTAGAATTTGAACTCAGGGCCTGCTACTTGCTAGGCAAACACTCTACAACTTGAGCCATGCCTCCAGCCCCAGACTCCACTCTTAAAATCCACAGGCAGCAAAGCCCCTGTTGATTAACTGGATAATTCTATGACCATTCAGTTCCACTTAGGCTCTGCTCAGTGGACCAGCAGAGCTGAGCCAAGATGGTACCTGTGTTCTGGGTGATCTGGCGCTTGGTAATCATCTGTTTGCACTTGGGATCCATCAATTCACTGTTTTTATTTTGCTTCAAGCATTGCAACATGGTTTTAGAATCTGCTTCTGGACAGAACCTCTGCAAAAAAAATGCAGTTTTGTAAAAACAGCTATTCAAAACTGGCAAGAACACATCTGTGACTACTCTTACAGCTGTCAGAGAGCTCAAGAAAGCAGTAGCAAGAAGGCATTGCTTGGTGTAAGAGAACAGTTAAGCCTGAATATATGCCCAGCCCTCATTTCCCCTGCTTTACTTACTCTCTACTGTGTTTCTCACATTTCTCTCCATTACCCCTCTGGTTCCTATTTTGCATGGGACTGATTCCTACAGTTACAGCTATATTAAACTACATGCCATCTCATGAGTATGATTATTGTTCGAGTACGATGGTAACATTACACCAGGTGGCCATTTTGCCCTTGAGCCATATCTACCCAACCCCAGGCATATGGACTGAAGAGCCATCTGGTTCATCTTTTTGTTTGTTTTGAGACAGGGTTTCACTATGTATCCCAGGCTGGCCCTGAACTCTTGATCTCTTGCCTCAGTCTAATCAAGTGCTGGGATTACAGGCATGTGCCACCAAATCTGGCTCCATCTGGTTCATCTTAACTGCAGCCAAACCAAACATTGTACACTTACATTGTCCTTTAAGTCAGAACCCAGTTTTGGATTGGTTGAAACCCCACCTCTCATTTGCTAATCTTCAGGTCTTTAAATATCACAGCATCTGATAAACTATGGTTGGGATACTTCAGTACCAATCCTCCCTTCACAGCCTCTGTTTCTAGTTCTCTAAATCATGTGTGATTATAATCTATGGGCTTTTTTTTTTTTCCTGTGGTACTAGGGTTTCAATTCTAGGCTTCATGCTTGCTAGGCAGGTGCTTTATCACCTGAGCCACTCTGCCAGCCTTTTTTGTGTTGGATATTTTCGAGATAGGATCTTGCAAACTATTTGCCTGGATCTGGTTTTGAACCATGATCCTCCTGATTTCTGCATCTCAAGTAGCTAGGATTATAGACGTGAGGCACCGGTGCCCGGATTCTATTGTCATCTTAATATGGGATTTCTGATTTCTTAATAAAATCTTAAGTCTCTCTCAAATCAGAATCTGGTTTTTATACTTCTTTATATGATCCAATTGTACACTTAAGACTTTGAACGTTCAAAATTCTCTTTGGAATTTACTTGATAAGGCGAAAAATAGCATTTTATTTTAAAGGAAAGCTGAAATAAGGAAATTATTTGTGTATGTGGACAGATCAAGAAACTTCTGAGAACATTCACTGGAAGAATAAATAAAGCAAAAACCCCACAGAACAAACGAATCTTTTGAGTGTAGGAGATAGTCTGACCAGGACATTGTTTCCTGGCTTTCTTTTCACCTTTAACCACCCACAAAACCAATGGTGTATTTACTGGACATCTATTTACTTGTGCCTTGGGTCAAAGTGAGGCCAATTACCTCACCTCCATGGTGGTGGTGATGCTGCTGGTCTAGGGACCTCACCTGGCCAATGTTTCACAGATCCCAGTGGAAAGAGGCTATGTTCTTTCTTATTTTCACTTAAGCTGCACGTGGCCCTTACCTTTATCATCTGCTTGCAGACTCTCATGAGCGTATAGTCTAGTTCTGGGTCCATCATTTCTGTCTCCTGCAGCTTAAATACTTTCTGGTGGCAACGGTTACTCAGCTGCTTCTTGTTTTCTTTCAGACATTCAATAATCTAGGACATAAGCATTATGGTCAAGGGCTGGGGGCATGGGTCAAGTGGTAGAGTGCCTAACTAGCAAGTACAAGGCCCTGAGATCAAACCTCAGTACTGCAAAAACAAACAATTATGGTCAAGTTGGGGGATGTAACAGGGATTCACAGTCCATGTATTTTGACTAAAGCATTTAGTTCTTAAAGCATGTCCCCGTTTTTTTTATCCAAGTACCTTTCATTTTTAATTTCCAAGCAACAGGAATCAGAACTTCCTTATTAGGAAGAATTATAGATTTACAAGCTTAGGGCCAATAGCAAATCAAATGGTATTAAAAATTTAGGCTGACTAGAAAGCTGCATTTGAGTCTAATGGGAAGGGAGCCCACTCAGGTTTTGATTTCTTTGGTCTTTGTAAGCCATTCCTTGTTAAGATTCATTTTGGAACATACACTAGGCTCTCTACCTTGGCCTTGGAGCAACAACCCTGACTGGATAGTAGGCAGAAGCCAGAAGGCTCAGTTCAACTCATCATGTATCAAATGAGAATAGACTGTTGGATGCTAGGTATAAATGAGACCCAATCCTTAGCCTTGATAATACAGTCTCACAGAGAAAATTTTGAATAACTGTCATAGAAAAAAATGAGTGGTAACATAAAAGTGCCATGGTTGGGGATGGGTTGCCTCAAGTGGTAGACTGCCTGCCTAGCAAGCATGAAGCCCTGAGTTCAAACCTCAGTACCACCAAAAAAAAAAAAAAAAAAAGTGGATTTTAAGAGAGTGAATTAAGTATATTCTGAAATCTTCCCTTCCTAACACCAAACCTTCAGCTACTATGAAAAATATAAAGAAGGAAAACAGATGGGAAGCTGTAGCAGCCAGGCTGCGGGATGATACCATGAGACCTCTATGAAATTCTCAAGGCATCATCAGGAACCACCAACTAGTTAGTAAAGAAACATGATAAAACAAGAGTTCAGAAATATATTGAATATTGGACTGGAGGTGTTGTTCAAGTGGTAGAGCGCCTGCTTTGCAAGCATGTAGGGTTCAAACCCCATGCCTACAAAAAACCAAAAATATATTGAATATCCTCAGAACAATATAGAAGGAAATGATAAATAAGAATAAACAACAGGTAGTTATGAAAAGAACCAACTAGAGATCTAAGAAATAAAAATTAAGTACCAACTGGTAGTCTCTTAAGAATGGATAGAAGTGAAAAATAAATTGTTAAACTGGGTAACAGAACTGAGCAAAAATTACCTCAAATGTAGTAGAAAGTAACAAAGTCTGGAAAGCATAAAAGAAACAGGTAAGAGACCTGGAGGACTCAGATGCTCCAGCTTCAATGCTCAAATGGGAGTTCAAGAAGGAAAAGTAAAGCAATATTTGAAAGAATAATGACAGAACTTCCCAACTGGGGGAAAAAAAAGCAAAAAACTGCAGTCACATCACACTGAAATGATAAATCATTAAACAGAAGAATAACACTTACCAGAAAAGGACTAACTACAAAGAAATGAAAATTCTTGACTCGGACTTTGCACTGGCAGTAGCAGACCCAAGATAATGAAGGAATTATCTCAGAGGCTAAAGCACCACAGCAATGCCCTTGGTAGCTGAGTAACCAGAGAACATTAAAAAAAAAAAAAAAAAATCACTTGTTTGTATTTCATTCCTGGCGATTCTGGGTAGGGCCTTGTTTCTGTGTATTTAAAAAAAGCTCTCTAGCTGATTCTTATGTGATTTCTCGTTAAGAACTCCTGTGAGGCTTGAAGAGCCCAGACTTTGAAATAGTGTCTTGGTTTCACTTTTTTTTAAAAACTAAAGCTATGGATTAAAGAGAATAAAAAAAAAAAAAAAGAATTTCTGCGAAGGGTACAACTAGGTAATAGGATAGGGATCGAGGGAGGAAGAATGGGGATAAGAGCGGAAGATGGAGGGGTGAATGGAGGATCAAGATACATAACATGTATATATGAATATGTCACAATGAAACCTATTATTTTGCACAATTAACAAAATTTAAAAAAGAAGGAAAAAACCAAACCAACAAAAAAACCATGACCCTGCAACAGGAACCCAGTGAGGCCTGAGGAGGCAATCTGAGGGATCACTCTGAATTTATTAGGAAGACAAGATGGAAAAGGATGAGGTACCTGGAAAAAGGGAAGAAAATGAGCAGGAGACAAAAGAGTTTATGGTAGGAACTCTGGGAAAAGCAGTCTGGTGTAGCATAAAGGGATGATTAAGCTGAATGGGACGTGATGGTCCTGTCTCACCAGCAGAGTTATGACAATGTTACCTTCACGTGACTTCTGTAATTAAAAAATTAAAACAAAAAATTACCTGAGCATTTCCATATTGCACAGTAGAACAGTAGTTTTTGATGTCACTTTTGCAGGCTTCATACAGATCTGGTTCCAAACGGATGTCCTCTGTCTGGATGAGAGGGAAGAAGGACGAACCATGGAACAGTGAGCTGATTTTTTTTTTTTTTGGTAGTACTGGGACTTGAACTCAGGGCCTTCATCTTGAGCCACTCCACCAGCCCTATTTTTGTGAAGGATTTTTTGAGATAGGGTCTCACAGAACTATTTGCCCAGGCTGGCTTTGAACCTCGATCCTCCTGATCTCTGTTTCCTGAGTAGCTAGGATTACAGGCATGAGCCACTGGTGCCCGGCAGTGAGCTGATTTTAGGATGAAGATGTCAAAGGTTCTACAAAGTTATTTACTGACTGGATCTTTTTCAGAGACCATGACTGCTACAAGTGGCAGCAGTGTGGCCATGCTACAGGGGAACTGGGATTTACTTTCAGTTCTGCCACCAAGTAGCCACACACCCTTGAACCTTCTTTCTAAAATAAAATGTTGTATTTACCCTGAAATGCCATGTTTAGTCTTTCAAAGGACTGATCTGAGAAGAAATATTATGTGAAAATGTAGGGTTCTACCTTTTTTATTTTTTTTTTACTAAAGAGCTAGGCTCAAAGAGAGGGAACGAAAAGTTAAAAGCTCAAAACAAATCTCTATTATAGTAGCATACTCAGGGCAGCCCCATTTAAACAGAATACCACTGAATCACTGCCAATGTGTGAGAATCTAGTAAGTAACTTCTGGGATATTATTAATGGTGTTTGGTCTCCATTATTAGTTTTTGCTTACATTAAATTGATGCAAAACATATTTAAAATATATTTAGCTATGTTTAACATGGTTTGGGCTTGATCTTAAGAGTAAAGCAAGAAGTTTCTTCCTATAGTGCACACTGTGGAAGACTTCCCTAAATTCACTGCCCCTGATGAGTCAGTTCATCAGTACTACATCGGTTCCCCAGACATTGCTGTTGTGGTCAGGAAGTGGACATGGACCCCCAGCTGACACAATCAGATTGAAGAGAAAGAGTTTTATTCTTGGTCAGGGAGGTTTCTCTCTCTTTGCCTTATCTTGTTGTAGATGAACAATGGAGCAGGTAATCCAGCTGTCTCAGGCAGCCATTCTGTAGCCTTAGGATGAAGCCAATGCCAAGGACAGCAGAGTAGAGAGAAAAGCCCTCAATCTTTGAGAACATTACAACTTACAGTTTGTCCTACAGCTTCACTTCCAGTTAGTTATGTGTGTTAAAAAAGTTTTACCATTTAAAGGCTTGGGATGTAGCTCGGTGGTACAGTGCTTGCCTAGCATGCCCAAGGCCCTGGGTTCGATCCCAGCACCAAAAAAGAAAAGACAGAAAAAAAAAGAAAAAAAAAAGTTTTACCATTTAAAAACAGTGAAACAAGAAGCTAAATGTTACACAGCAAGATTTTAGCATAGGACTCCATGTCTCAACATCACAACGGCTGCTATAATCTTTCCCCTGACCCAACCCATTCCCAGCTTTCTGAGCTCCAGCCCCTGTACTTTCTGGGAGGCATTACCATCTCCAGCTCCTCCACTCGGAGCTGCTTGCGGCACTTCAGGGACACCCTGTGCTCCTTGGCTTCCTGCAGAGTGTCATTGCGCACAGTGGTGCTCAGGCAGATCACCACATCCACCCTGCCAAGAAAGGAGAAGGCATGACACTGTCTAGAGCCACACCAGGCAGATGGCCTAAGACCTTGTCTGAAGCAGGGGCAGGGCCACACCGTTTACCTGCAATTAGTCATCTTTTTTGCTCTCCTTTTGAATGTCTTTCCTATATGCTTCACTATTTTTTCCCCTAGTGCTAAAAGCAGTAGCTTGCCTGTACTTAATACTTAATAATAGCCCCAAAGTGTAAGAGTAGTAGCACTGGAAACTCAAGATATGCCAAAGAGAAGCCATAAAGTGCTTCCTTTAAGTGAAAAGGTCAAAGTTCTGGATTTAACATGGGGAAAAAAGTATTGTTTAATTTGTTCTATTAAGTTATTTTCGTTAATTTCCTATAGGGTTTGGTACTATCTCTAGTTTCAGGCATCCACTGGGGTCTTGGAACATATCCCCTGCTGATAAGGGGGGACTAACTATAAGGGAGGGACCACTGCACAAAGGTCAGCCAGTAGCCTGAATGCTGATTCCATTCTTGACTAGAGGGGAGGCCAGAGAGGGGACATATGTGCAAGGATAGCTCTAACACTTGTTTGTTAAAAACATGTGACCAAAGAGGAATGCTGCTCTTCACTGCAGGGCTGTGCCTTTGACATACAATGAGATTTATTACCAATAGGTAGAGAAATCTGTGCAAAATGGGAACTTGGTTTATATGAGAGAAAATATGTTCTAGAAATGTGCCTTTTTGAAGAGCAACACAGAAGAATTTGGGCAATCTCACTGTCAAAACTTATCAGTCTCCTCATTAAGACCTAATTCCTCAGTGAATCAAGGTTCTGCTTCCTCATTAAATATCTAACTCAGTGAAAGCTGTGGCTGCTTCTCTGCAGAGATGATGTAATGGGAAGAAGTTGGTTTACCTCCCACTCACACTGCAACTTGCTTCTCTAAGTATACAATCTATTATCTGTTCCATCAGTTTGGCATCTGAACCTGGAAAAATTAAGAATGTTCCTATAGCCTATGGGCTCTCCTTATGAGAGGTTCCACCACCAGGTGTGGCTCAGGCAGCTCTGAAGATGACTTGTACAGACAATGCAAGTATCTGGCCATATTACCAAGGGAGAGGCACAGGAATCCTCTGGGCTACTTCTGCCAGACAGCAGGAGGCTGGCCTGACATCCTGCATACTCACGCCTATCAATTAAAGGCTACATACTTTTTTTTAATGTTGGGGCAAAGCTTCAACACGTCCTCCTTGCAGGCCATCTTGAACTTGTAAGAGAACCGAAAATCCTTCATCTGCACCTGAAAGATGAGAAAGAAAATCAGAAGCTCTGTAGCAAGCTGTAGTCGGCACTGGTGAGTGACATTTGGTGACATTTTAGTCACACAGATTTCAGAAGCCTGCTCACAAGACCCTGTACAACTTCCCTGTCTCTTAGACTTCACAACCTAATTTCTCATGGCTCCCCAGGTGACAGCACCCTGGCCTCACTACTATTGCATCACACACATGGCTCCCTCAGCTGAAAGCACTCTTCTCCTGGATCTTTGTAATGGTCTCTCTGCTACTTCTTTCAGGTTTCTATCCTAATACCTCCTCCTGAAACCCCTTTTCTCTTTCACCTTCCAGCCCCTGCTTTGCTTTTTCTTTTTCAAACCACCCGAGACCACAATCACTGTATACTTGTTTTGGCATCTTTCTCTTTTTAAAGAGTCTGGAGTCCACTGGGGCAGGGGTGCTGGCTAACACGGTGAACTCAGGCAAGTGGGCTACCTGTCCTGAGAAGCAATTACCTCAGGTGACTATCCTCCTTGCAGGAAGTGTCCACTATATCTCACACTTCCTTAGTTACAAGTAATTATGAGGAGTACGGTCCAATCTTCTTTTTTGCCTTTTTTGCAGTACTGGAGATTGAACTCATGGTCTTGTTCTTGCTAGGCAGGTGCTCTACCACTTGAGCCATGCCTCCAGTCCTCTTTTTTCATTAGTGCATTTTAAAAAAAATTTAAATTTTTTTATTATATTATTGCTGTACCGGGGGTATATTGTGACATTTACAAAAGTGCTTACAATGTATCTTAAATTTGCCCCCTCCCTCATTTTCCTTCATCCTCTTCCCCCCAAGTGTATTTTTTAAAATTTCTTGTTGGTACTGGGGTTTGAATTTAAGGGTTCATGCATGCTAGGCAGGTGCTTGACTGTTTGAGCCACACCTCCAGCACTTTAACCTTCTTATTCATATGTCAGATCTGGATTTTATTTATTTAATTTTTGGGGGGCGGGGAGCAGTACCTAGGTTTGAACTCAGGATCTCATGTTTGCTGAGCAGGCGCTCTTACCGCTTGAGCCACTCCACCAGCCCAGATCTGGATTTCATGATTTGAAAGCAAAAAAAGGTTGAGTCCAGTGTATTGATGCACCTCTGGGCAGGTGCACTGAATAGTTACACAGAACAGGTACCAGTGATATTAACTACTGCGGGGGAGGCAAAAATACCTCATGTGAGCACTGTGACTGATGCAGAAAATGCCTGCTTATTTGTCTCTATGCCCACTAGACTCAACACTCCCTAGGGACAGGGACTAGGTCTCACTGATCATTGTATCAGGGAGCCTAGAAAAGCACCTGGTCACAGTAGAGAAAAACCACACTTACTGAGAACAGTTCAAAATAGGATGTATAGTCATAAAAAAAATGATTTTTTTAAAGAACAGCAGAGATACACTGATGTTCCAAATAAGATTCAGTAATCATTCACACAGCTGAAACAGGAAACCAACTGACCAACTGGAAGTGGGTGACTCCAATGGCACATTTCTCATTCATATCCTTCTGGTGTTTGTTCTGTATCAGACACTCCATCAGGTCTCCAGAGTCTATCTGGTTGTCTGCTACATCCTGGAGAAGACAGTACACACTTATACTTCATTTGTAACAATTAATGAATACAACCTGTAGCTCAGTTCATGAAAAATATGAATAGGGCTGATTCTAGAAGCCTTCACAAAAGAGTAACACTTGGTGGGATAAAATTCATACAGCAAGTTGTTCTACCTGAGGAAGGAATATGTACTCTAAGGGCTTTTACTTATTGTCTTTACATGACTGTACAGCTGGCTTTTAGAGTAATAACTAACACAGCTTCCTGACTGTCAGATCCTAAAGGTTCCTGACTGTGTTTTACTGCCATAATTTGGGTGGTTCAGTGAGTAACAAGGTAACAAAATTCACTCACTCAACACTGAGGAACAAAGGAGACCTGAGGAAGGGGAAGCCACTACTACTTGGAAAGCAATTCAGTCACGTTCCTGATGGCTTCTCTGTTGCATCTTTTCTTATAACGGCATCTCAACTATTGCTGCTACCTAGCCATGTACAAAGGCTAATCAAACAGGGTTTCCCAGGATCTTGCTCTTATATACTTTTCCAATGTATGCAGAAGACACAGATGAGTCCCATACCATTGGGAGGTCAGAGTCCCAATGAATTTGGTTCTGTTTCTAACCCTTGTTCCTCCAGACATCACTTACATGGCAAAAGTTCTGAATTATGGGCTCGCAGGCTCTCATCAGCAAGGCTTCTATTTGAATATCCTGTAGAAGATGAAACAGATTGATCATTCTGCTTGAAGAAGAGCTAAAGGTAGAGGAAGAGCAGTTCTCCTGAATCAGTAGCATCATCAGGCAAACAATCTAGCATGTGCCTTTAGAAATGATTCTATATTTAGGTTAGATAGTCCCAGAATATACAAAAGTGCTCTGCCTTTATACTCTAGAAAACAGATTCCCCCTGTGCCTGAACAAAAGAGCAGGCAGAATTAAGAAAGGTGGGATAAAGAAACATCTAGCAATAATATTAGAGCACGTAAAGCCTTTGGAGTTTTTCCAAAATGCTAAGCGGTTTAAATTGAAAACAGGGATACCTGTCATGTATCTTTTGTTTGTAAGCTCATAAGCCATATGAGCTTACATAAGTAGCAGCTACTTGCTAGATGCCTTTAAGCAGAACAACACGGGGCAGCCCAAAGACAATGAGAATGGAAGGGAGAGATGGGAGGTAAGAAGGCAACAAACTTCTGAAAACCAGGAAGCAAAGAAGGGCTGGCTGAGAAATGTATTTTTATTATTGCCAATCCTGACAATTCAAATAGTACCAAAGGGCTTATTGGCACAAAAACAGACATGTAGATCACTGGGACAGAAGATTCATAGACCCACACAGGTATAACCATCTGATTTTTGACAAGAGTGTCAAAAACTTATGTTGGAGAAAAGATAGTCTCAAAAAAAAATGGTGTTGGGAAAAAGGGTTATCAACCTGTAAAACACTGAAACCAGACCCCTATTTCTCATCCTGTGCAAAAATTAATTCCAAATGGACTGAAGATCTTAATATAAGACCAGAAACTTTGAAGGAAGACCCTTACAGATATAGGCCTAGGTAACACTTTTCTGAATAGAACTCCAATTGCTCAGAAAATAACTGAAAAATGGGGTTGCATCAAATATAAGCTTTTGCACAACAAAGGAAAGAATTACTGGAATCAAAAGAAAATCTACAGAAGGGAGAAAATCTCTGCCAGTTATTTATCTGATAAAGGATTCATATTCAGAATATATAAAGATCTCCAAAGATTAAACACAAAAAGAATAATCCATTTAATAAGTAGGTAAATGAACTGAACAGTTTTCTAAAGAAGTACAAATGGCTAATAAATACATGAAGAAATGCCCACTATGCTTAGCCATAAAGGAAATACAGATCAAAACATCACTGAGATTCCATTTTACCACAGTCAGAATGGCAATCATCAAGAAAACAAAACAAGAAATGCTGATGAGTATGGGGCGGAACCCTTATATATTGTTGGTGGAATGTAAATTAGTGCAGCCTCTATGGAAATCAGCATGGAGGTTCCTTAAAACACCAAAGCTAGACCTACTGTGTGATCCTGCTATACCACTCCTGGGTATAGGAATGTAAAACAACACACAATCAAGACATCTGCAGTGAGCTACTGGTGCCCAGCTGTAATCCTAGCTACTCAGGAGGACTGTGGTTCGAAGCCAGCCTGGGCAAAGAGCTCATGAGACCCTATCTCAAAAAACCCAAACCCATCACAAAAAAAGGCTGGTAGAGTGGCTAAAGCAGTAAGAGCACATGTCTAGCAAGTGTGAGGCCCTGAGTTCAAAACTCCAGTGCTGCAAAAAAAAAAAAAAAAGATAGCTGCCCATCCATGTTTACAGCAGCACTATTCACAAAAGCCAAAATGAGATCCGCCTAGGTGCTCAGCAGCCAATGAATGGATGAAAAAAAATGCAGTATACATACACGCACACAAAATGGAGTATTATTCAGCTATAAAGGAGAATGAAATTATGGCATTTGTAGGAAAATGGATGGAATTAGAGATTATGTTAAGAAAAATAAACCAGGCTGAGAAAGACAAATATTGTATGTTCTCTCTCATATGCAGAATCAGTTCTTAAAAATGAATGACAGGATTACTTACTAGCTGTGTGAAAAAGAAGAAGAAAAAAAAAAAAAGAATGACAGGAGCTGGATGTGTGACTCAGGTGGTACAATTCCTGCTTACCAAGAGCAAAGCCTTGAGTTCAAACCTCAGCACCACCAAAACAACAACAACAAAACAAGGTCTGTGTCTGTCTGTCTGGGGATGATACAAGCAGGAGGGCAAAAGGAGAAGGTGAAGTGGGCGGGGGGGGGGGGAGTGGTTGAAATACTTTATACACATGTACGAAAATAAAATAAAACCTGCTGAAATTGTTTTAAGAAGGGGGTAGGAATAAAAAGGAGAAGGGAAGAGAGGGCGAATTTGATGGCGGTATACTGTATGCATATGCAAATACCACAAGGAAACTCCTTTGTACAACTAATAAAAGCAAGTAAAAAAAAAAAAGAAAAGAAAAAAAATGGCATTTCCCTTTTTCTCTCATTTCTGCCTCCATAAGATCACCTTAGCATTTTTAGCTGTGTCTGCCACAGTAATAATCCCAGTCTTTCTGAACAATATGACTATGCTTGTGAGGTTTTTAAAACTCCTGCTGTAGCCAGGCACCAGTGGCTCACGCCTGTAATCCTAACTACTTGGCAGGCTAAGATGGGGAGGATCATGGTACCAGGCCAGCCATCTCCAAAATAAACACAGCAAAATGGATTGGAGGTGTGGCTCAGGTGGTAGAGTGTGTGCTTTCCAAGTATGAAGCCCTGAGTTCAAAACTCAGACCCGCCGTAAATAAACAAACAAACAAACCTCATGTTTTATATTTTAGTGGGTTTCAGGACGGAACAGGGATAAACATGTGCTCAATCTTCTACGTGTTACTAGAAATCCCAGGCTTTTATTTTGTTATACATACATTTCCAATGACTTAAGTAAAAGAGCTCTAAGGGTAAGAGAATGAATGCTTGGTTTACTCTTGAATGTGATTCAGAGTTTGAAGTATAGCAGCTATCTTTTCTCATGGGAGCCAAAGGTCTAATCACTATGATAACTCTGAAGAAAACCAAAGTGTTAACTGTACAGAGAGCTTTTCTAGAGAAGTGAGGGAAGGGTCAGGACACAATGCAATGTTTGTCTTTATAAAGCAAATGGGCAAAGCCTGATTAGGTTTCTTTTGATTAACAGAGGCTTTGCACTCTCAAGAGTAGAAACAGCAGAACTGGGCACAACAGGCCAGGCTGCTGGCAGCCCCTCTCCTCCACGGAGCTGCGTGCTGCTTACCTCTGACTCTAACTCTGTGAGGTTGCCCACTATGTCTCTGCACTCCACTGCCAAGTCATCCAGATGGTCCTGGAGGCACTCGAGCTCCTACATGGAAAAAGGCAACAAGGGAAGGTGAGACACCAGTGCCCTTCCCTTTCATACCTGTCCTCTTTTTTCCTTCCTTTTAGAACAACCTTATGAACGCAACACAAAAACTTCACTTAATTCTCCAATCAAGACTGTTCTGTGATGTAGCGGGTGGTTAAGAGGGCCAGCATCCCTGCATACCCCATAGAAGAATAGCCTATAAAGCCCAACAGAAAGCAATCTTCAGATGTCCTCAAAGTGTGAAAATCTTACCAGGCTTATATTCCATTCCATCCACATCTGCCATTCCACTTTTTTTCCCCTCTTTTTTTGTGCGACTGGGGTTTGAACTCAGAGAGGGCTTCATGCTCTACCACTTGAGCCACACCTACAGTCCATTTTACTCTGGGTATTTTGGATATGAGGTTTCTCAAATTATTTGCTTGGGCTGGCCCTGAACCAGAGATCCTCCTGATCTCAGCCTCCCAAGTAGCTAGGATTACAGTGTGAACCACTGATGCCTTGCTCTGCCACTCCATTTTTTTTTTTTTTGGGGTGGTACTGAGGTTTGAACTCAGGGCTTTCTATTTACTAGGTAGGTGGTTCTACTGCTTGAGCCACAACTACAGCCCCTGCTATTCCACTTTTATACTTTTAATCCAAGTTTTGAATATTTTTTACCTCCCATTTTATTTCTTAATTTTTCATTTTTTTCACCATACTGGGGGTTGAACTGAAGGCCTCATGTTTGTAGGCAGGCATTCTACCACTTAAACCACACCCCTAGCTCTTTTCACTTTATTTTTCAGATAGGGTCTTGAGTTTGCCCATTTGCTTTGACTTAATGCCTTCCACCTTCTACACAGCTGGGATTACGCAGGCCTAGTTTATTGGTTGAGATGTGATCTTTTTAACTTTTTGCCAGGTTGGCCTTGATCCTCTCAATCTGACTCCTGAATAACTAGGATTATGGGTGTGAGCTACTGTACTGGCCTTATCTTTCATTTTAGATGAGCACTTTGATAATGATCACTGGACAACAAATTCATAGTGAAAGGCATAAACTACACTAAAACTCTTCATGGGCAAAGTAGGTGGGGATCCACGACCCTGGATCATAGCACAGAGCTAAAATTCCTCCAAGGCAGAATGGGGATTCTAACCCAGCCTACATCAAAAGGATCCTTTGAAGGAAATTCCAAAACAAGAGATTTATTTTGTCTGGGCTCTGGAAATGGAGCTGACGCTGCTGAAGCCTTACTCTGTCACTGTTCCATTTAGCGGTCTGCAGGTTCAGGTGTAGCAGCAGCTCACATTCCCAAGCAAATCAACAGCTAGCTCTCAGCAGAGTGCTCTGCTCAGGGATCAGGCTTCACATACTGAACATTCTGTAAGGATCTCTCTGTTTTAGAATAGGAAGTGAGGAGAAGGGATGGAAGAATTACAAAGCAGCCAGAATGGAAGGAGGGAAAAACCCAAAAAACCTGAAGGGAAGTGCACTAAACTGAACACCTTGCTCATGAAACTGTTCCTTAGGTTTAGCTTCTTGGTGGTGGGGTGCATCTGTCTAAATGTTGACTTTGCAGAGGGTGTGGAGGAAATTGTTTCCTGGGGTCCCATATCAACACAGCTTTGTTCCATCAGACAGAGGATTCAGAAAGCTAAACAATAGGCATTTTCTAACAAAACTCCCACAAAACTGCAGCAGGCCGTGGAAACAGACTGCTGAAAATGATATTCCCATATCCAATAGACCTAGGAAGCAGCCATACACACTGCTGCTTTAAAATGCCCAACTCCTATAGGCGTGACTTTTTAATACTCTAATTCCAGGGGGTTTTATATTTTCTTTTTCTTTTTTTGGCAGTACTGGTGTTTGAACTCAGGGCCTCACACTTGCTAGGCAGGAGCTCTATTATTTGAGCCACATCTCTAGCCCTAGAAGCAGTTTTGGACAAATGGAGCCTGGAAGCCTGAGAGCACTCCTCGTTCTAGTACTAATGTGGCTTTAAGCAAGCAGGTTTTCCTCACTGTTATTCTGCTTCATGATGGAAGACATACTGCCTTCCCTGGTAACTTGCAGTCACATAACTTTCTTTTTCCCAGAACTAGGACATAATTCTGAGGAATTATTCATAACATGCACATAATTCTTGGGAGCTACTATTTCCCCATACCTTCCAATATGCAGAGGTTCTTACAATGGAATGAATGCCCAGTTACAATGAGACTTGAGTTTTAGGTAAGAAAAGTCAGTTGTTTTACTTCTCTGAGTCTCAACTTGGGTAACTACATGGAAAAAAACAATTCCATTTCCACATGTGTTGTATAGTGCTGTCCCAGGGCCTGCATCCTATTCATGCATACCAGTATTTACATACTTGAATATATTCATACCTTGCTTATCTCAGGCAAGATAAAATGAATTAAAATCAGTAAAAAAGAAGGAGGAAAAGGGAAATATGTTATGGAAAGTGTGATGGAGCCAGCAGTAAGCCTAGTATAAAAATGTTCATATAGTTCTTAGAGGTAGGCCAAGGCTTTGGCTCTAAACTTTCTAAAGGCCACACAAAGAGGGAAAATAATCAATTACAACATACAGTAGCCATAATACAAAACACAAATTAGCTGCTTAGAAAATAAACAATTATTCTTGATATAAAGACCACAGAAGTATTTCTTGAGGATTTCTTCTACAAAGAACACTGAGTAATAAATCAAGTCTATGAAGTAAATACCAAGGTAGACTTCACAGCATAGGGTATCCTCCTCCCTAAATAGTAGTGAAAGTGACAGTAAAGTTTATAGGAAAGGAATATGAGTTCAATAGACTGAAAGTGGGCCACCTCTAGAGAGAATGAAAATAATCAAATATTATTATTGTAAGACAAACTGGAAGCCCTGTTACCCACCTGGCCAGTCTCTGTTTTCTCACTACACCATTTCCCCAGATCTATCAGACACTTGTCCTGGAGGGCAGGATCCAGTTTAACATCCATAGCACGCTGGTGTAGGATCCTCTGAACCTCAGCTCGGCACTCCCGTGAGAGCTACATAAGAAAGAATGAGACTTTAAAAGTAAAAAAAGCAAATCCATGAAGACCCTAAACTGAGCAAACATGTGGTCAAACAACAAACAACTCAGTATTTATCTCTTAAATGCTACACCTTGGATCTCTTCCAGAGCAACTCCTTATCTCTAGGGTGCAATTACACATACATTCAGTATTCTCTAATATAAAATGACATCTATTTCTGAGAGTATCCTGATAAAAGTGAAGATCTAGATTTATTCAAAGTAGAGTTTCTGTTCATCAAAATTCACTTACTGTTCTATGCACAAGAACAGAACATCAGGTATGATTTGGTCAAGAATATCCACGGTTCAGGAGAACTGAGTTCAAACTGACCTAAATAGTTATACAGATCAGGACTCTTCTAGATGAATTATGTGGAATGAACCAGGTGAAAACTGGCTTTTTTTTTTTTTTTCTAAGAGCTATAAGAAAGCAGTCATTGACAGGTGAAGTTCAGTTTCCTATCCTGACAAGGCCAGCACACCTGAGGCAGAGGGATGACGTAACTCCTTAATGGGCATGGGTTTTCTTTTAGAGTCATGGACTGTTTTGACTCTAGAAAGAGGTTGTACAACACTGCAAATGTGCCAAATGCCTCTGCATTTTTCTCTTTAAATGGTTAATTTTATGTTATGTGAATCTCACTTCATTTTTAAAAGCCAGAGCATTGGATTCTACCTTTTCCCTATTTACAAGAGATGGACCTTCCTACTATAGAGACTTGCCAAGTGTCAGGATTTGACAGCCCCTGTGGCTAGTAAGAGGTTCATTATATGAAGAAAAATGTAACAGTCTCATGTAATCTTTTTCTTTTTTCCTCAGTGGAACTAGGGTTAGAACTCAGGGCTTTGTGCTTGTGAGACAGGTAGTAACAAAGCAAGCAAGCACTCTACTACTTAAGTCACACCTCCAGTCCATTTTGATCTGATTATTTTTTGGAGATGGGGTCTCAAGAACTATTTTCCCCAGGCTAACCTCAAACCATAATCCTTCCAATCTTAGCCTCTAAAGTTTACAGGATTATAGGTGATAGTCACCAGTGCTTAGCTTCATGTGTTCTTACATAGTCATAAAAAATGGGCTAGGCTTTCAGCAACTAAGTATGACATTTTTCTACTTGAGTTTCCTCAATTGGAATCCTAGACAGACTTTTGCACTGGGCTCAGAAGGGTTGTTTGGAAACAAGCATGTGAAATAATACCATAGCTACTCTCTGTAACAAATACAAGATTAACTTCCAGTAGCATTTTTAAGAAGACATAAAAAGGCCATTCTGGAGAGAAAGCAGCAAGTCAATGTGGCACCGGAAGGCAACCAATGCTGCATGAGTGTAAGAGATGCTTAAACTACTTTTTCTAAAAAGCATGGGCCCAGGAATTAATCAAAAACAGGAGAGAAGCTGGGCATTCTTACCTCAATTTTGCATGTTTTTGTCTAAGCCTTCCGGTCACCTTGGAATCCAGGAAGGATAGGATTTAGGACTTACTGATAAAATCTTTACAAAGAGGGATGGAGGAAGCTGCCCCAAAGGAAGGGTACATCAGAGCCCCCCCCCCACCCCCAGGACAATAACAACTTCTTCGGAAACTCCTCCTAAGACAAGGACTGAGAAAATGACCCACTGGAACACACCTGGGACTGTTTAACTATGCATACCTGTTGTCATCTACCCCAATTCTTTGTCTATTTAAATCTAAAGTTCCTGTCTGCACTCTGAAGATGACTGAAGATGAGCTGAAGTGCCTCTTCTCACGGTGTGTCCAAGGCCATGTGATAAATCTCCTTTCTCTGCTTTTCACCATGTCTCTTTATTTGGCATACTAGGCGAGTGGCCGGACCTCAAATGTGGAAGCCCAGGGGGTTGGGCCCTGTGTCCAAAACTCTTGGTTTCATGAGAACCAAGGTCACACAAATACTACACTAAAAGATATAGGGGCAGACAGACACCAAGAAACCAGGGATGGAAGGTTCAGCTCCAGTCAGTGCTGTCACAGAGGCCTTGTTTGTGTTTGGCAGCCAAGAGCAGAAGCCTAGAAAACCACTTGTATCCTGGCTAAAAACCTCTAATGGATCTTTAAACCTAAATAAAGTCAGGACAGAAGAATTTAATTGTCCATTTGTGATTCAGATTTCGGAAATTTAAAGAAAAAAATCTGGAAATGTTCCCCTCTTCACTTTGTTAAAGACATCACCAGATGGGGAAGCTGGGAAGGCAACTGCAGCAGCAGGAACATCACTGAGTGCAGTTTCTGGTAGTACAGCAACCCTCTCCCCAAATATACCAAAAGAGCTTCCCTAGGATGACAGAAAACAGAATAGACACCAAAGCTTTTAGAAAAGCAAATGACAGTAAGAAAACAGTGCAGACTGCATACCCTCCTTCCTTGTTCCTCGGTGCGGTAGGCGTGTCTATACAAACAAGAGAACACAGCTCCGGGAGGCATAAGTTCACTGGTTTCGTTCCAACCATGGGTGTGGCAAAGACGAGAAGCATCTCCCTGGCACTTACGGTATAAGACAGGATCCAGCCTAGAAGGTTAAGAGTTAAAAAGAATGGCTACCTACCATACTTTTCCGCCTCATACACACTAAGGGTTTTTACAGGATGCTTGCTTATGTACTTGTTGAAAAATCACCTCAGGAGTAGATATGGAAAAACATATTCCAAGCCACACCTCCAACTCTTTTTGCTTTAATTTTGACCCTATCTAAAAGATAGGGTCTCCTGATTTTTGCTTGGGTTGGTCTGGATTGTGATACGCCTATCTGCTTCCCACATAACTGGGATTTACAGATATGCACCACCACACCTGGGTTGTCTGTTGAGCTGGGGTCTCATTAACTCTTTGCCCAGCTGGTCTTGAACTTCAATCCTCCTGATCTTTACCCACTGAGTATCTATGATTACAGGTGTGCACTACCACATCAGGCCTAAATGTCATTCATAGTGGACATACCATGGTCAATCTACAAAAGTTTGTTAACCTTCATACAAAAAACTTATGCCCTACCTCAAAGATGTCATCCTGGAGCTGGGTGTGGTGGTGCAAAACTATAATTCCAGTATTTGGGAGGTTAAGTCAGTAGGATCATGAATTTGAGGTCAGCCTGAACTACTTGAATTAGGCAATAAGCCTGCTTCTTTTCTTCAAACCAGACAAGGAATGCTTTCATTCCATCCACATTATATTATCAATCATGGAGGAAGGCTATTTAATAGGAGAGAGGCTGCTATATACTTAATGAGTAGCTTTTAGGGCTCCAAGGCACATTTTTGGTCATTGGGGAAAGAACTGAAGAGAAGAAATCATGGTCTTGACTAAGGTGACATGTGCTTTCAGGAAACTCTTGGTAACTTCAGTTCAAATGGCCTGACCAAGCACAGCTATCTGTGGCCTTTCCCACAGATAATTTTTTTTTTTTTGAGACAGGGTCTCATTAGTAGCCCAGGTCAGCCTCAAACTCTTGATCCTCTTGCCTCAGTCTACTAAGTGGTAGGATTACAGGTGTACACCACAACAACTGCCTTCCGAAGTTACTCTGAAGGAACAGAAATAAAACCACCTCAAATTTTCAAGTAATCTCTTTCTATTATAACATATGAGCAAAACATAGATTAATCACCAGAAAAGATTAATGCCCACATACAGTGGCTTAAATAATTGAATCAGGAAGCAACTGAACTTGGGAAGCAGAAGCGGTAGTGAGATCCATTATCAGTGGCTCTGGAGGTGGAAGGGAAAAAGGACATGGAAAAAAGAGGGGAGAAACAGCCAGTAAACAATAGCGATTCTGACTGTAACAGAGACCCTTCTCTCACTTCATTCCCACCCTCTTTTTTCTTCCCTTAACAGGATGAGACGGCAATTAGAGAATACAGTTGTCGCTTATTGATAACAATCTCTCAAGAAAGAATAAATTCAATAACTCTGAATAGTTAAGGAAATAAAAGCAAGTACCTATTCTTAGTGAAAATCAATGAAGATACAAATGTACTATTATCTTCTTAGTCATATCTAAAGATGCTTTTGGTGCACCTCAGATGCCAGAGTTCTTTCTAGACAGATGTCTGTGGTATCAGAATCATTTTGGCCCTGACTTCCAAAGTAGTGGTGAGCAGTAATACTTGGTATGACTGATAGACTCTGCTTTCAGATACTACTCTGGAAGCAATAACAGGTTTTCAGGAGGTTGGAATATGTTAGCCATCCCAGAATTTGAAAATAATTCCCTCCTGATTATTATAAAATACGTGGTGGGGGGGAAGGGGTGGGAGTATAGCTCAGTAGCATAGAGTGTGACGTAGCAAGCATGAAACCCTGGGATTATTCTCCAGCACCCCTTCTACCACCTGCCCCAGAGATGATACTAACTACAGAGGAGAACAGGCTGAGGTAATGCCTTATGCTAGATTCAAAATACTCACTTCCAATCCCGAGAGATAAAATACTGCAGCTCTAAGAGACGGTGTTCACAATCTTCCACCATCTTCTCTGTGTACAAATGCTCCATTAGACACGACAGGATCCTAGCCATAAAGAGGTAAAAGTGTAGTGAGAGAGACAAGTGTTCTGACAACAAGCTGGAATGCTTATGTCTGTACACTAGTTCCCTGGTCCACAGAAAAAGCCCTTCAGTTATTTTCCTAAGGCAATAAGAAATATTTTTTCTGATAATCACTAAAATGAATGGAACTTGATAGTGATGTCTTCTATCAACCTTAGAGCTGCCCTGCGTGGAGAGCTCTGCATGCACAAATGTGCACAGCTGCTTTGTTTTAACTATTATTAAGAAAAACATTCAACACACACAGAAATAGAGAATGACATACTGGCTACCTCCCTCACGCCCATAGCTTTATCAGCCTGGTGCAGAGTTTCTTTTGACTCTGCGCTCCTTGTTGATATTTTGAAGCAAATCTCACACATCCTTTCAGTAATAAATACTTTGGCATTTTCTCAAAAATATGGAAACATAGTACTATTGTCACACCACCAATAAAAAAAATCCTTAATATCAAGTAATATCCTGTTCATTTTCAAATTTTTCCAATTACCTCATGTCTTTTTACATGCTGTTTAAATTAGGACCCGGCAAAGGTCCACACATTGTATTTAATTTCAAGTATCTAAGTCTGTTTGAATCTGTAGCAGATCCTCCCCAACCCCCTGGACGTTTTGGTTGAAGCAGTTATTATTATATTTTTAGTGTAAGTGTGCTTATCTCTCTCTTCCATGATCACCAAAAGCTTTAAATAGAATATTTGTTTTGTTTTGGTGCTGTGCTGGGCTCAAGGGCCTTGTGCTTGCTAGGCAAGTACTCTCAACTTCAGCCACACGCCCCCCCCCCCCCCCCCCCCCCCCGCCAGCCCTTTTTTGCTTTAGCTATTTTTCAGATCAGGTCTTGCACGTTTTCCCAGGGTCAGTCTCGGACCATAATCCCCCTGCTATTCCTCCTGTATTGCTGAGACTATAAGCATATACCACCACGTTCAGCAAGAGTACCATTTTTAATTCCCTACCACAGCATGAACAGCAGTTTTTACATAGCATAATGACAATAAACCTGGACTGAGTTCACTTTAATGTTGGGTAGTGCCAGCTGAAATCTATAAAAACTTTTGCAGACTGGGAAACCTGTTTTTACTTGCAATCTGGCTTTGAGAATTGTTTTCACATTATATAGAATAAAACTAATACAAGAGAATCAAACATTTTATCATAGCATTTATTTAGATTTCCTAGACCTTGGAAGCAACTCCAATATTTAGTTGGTCCATGACTACACTCTCCAACTACCACATTTTGTTTCAATTACAGTCAACTGCTTTCTAACGATCATCAAGTAGCCAAAGCACATGATGAGTCAATGTACAAACAGAGCACCAGTGTATATGTCACTTTGTCTTTGACAGAAACAGGGTGTCTCTGTCTCACTTTCATCTGCATTACAGGAAGCTGTTTCATGACCTGGTAGACAGGCCCATACATGCCCAGTCACTGTCAACAAACACCATCACAGTGCTGTACCTCTATAGGAAGCCTGAATTCCAATACTAGTTTTAGTACAAGTTGGTATGTTCCTGTTCAACAAAATTTTAGTCAAGATGTTAAGCCTCAGGAGGCAGAAATTAGGAGGATTGTGGTTTGAAGCCAGCCTGGACAAATAGTTTGTGAGACCCTATCTCGAAAAAACCCCCATCACAAAAAAAGGTCTGGTGGAGTGGCTGAAGGTGTAGGCCCTGAGTTCAAAGCCCAGTACCGAAGGAAAAAAAAAAAATTAAGCCACCCAAAGTCATTTGATAGAATGTTCCCTTTGCTGCCAGCTAACATACAATATGGATTATGCCAAACAAGAGAACCTACATTGGGTCTCCGGATCGTATGTGTTTGCAGGCTGTCTGTATTACAGATTCACAGGCTTCATTCAAAGCTCGATCGATGCGGTAATCGGCACCAGGGTCAGTCTCCTGAATCAGTGTTTGAAGCTGGATGAAGGAAAATTACAAAGGAAGAAAAAGTCACTTAGGCACCACAAAAGAGCAGTGTCATGCCACCATTTATCAGCTGCTCAGTCTGGCACATCACAATGTACTTTAACAAGGCTCTGGAGTTGTCACTGGCCAAGCTCAAGAATTGTTGCCAAATACTTTCTAACTGGCTTTTCCACCTTGTTGCAAGTTTTTCTGTTTATGTCCTTGTGGAGGTAGCTCATCTATCTGTTATAAACTATCCCTGGATACCTGAAAAACAACAGGTCTTCACAATGTGACTGGGAAGGCTACCTCTTTCTTTTTATCTGGCTACTTGCTAATCAGATAACTAAACTTGACACACAAGGTGTCAAGCCAGAGTTGAGTGGATGAGAGAGTAAACACATCTCCAGTTAGAGACCTAATTTGGGCTAACATGAATTTAAATTTTGCTTTAATGACACTGGTACTAAAAGAAGTATACTGTTTATTAAAGTCAGATAAGAGATATTTAACTTGCAGAAACAAAACAAGAACACTTATAACTTCCTATTTTGTCCTCAACTGTTTTTACACAGCCAAGAGAAACCCCACAACTCATTTGTTACAAGACTACAGGAAAAATGTATGTCATCATGCAACTGAAACTGAGAATAGGCACTCTATCTATAGTTTTGTTTGATCCATCCTTGATCATGGAATAAGGGAGGAGTAAAGATGCCTTAGTTTCTTTTCCTGTCTTTGAGAAGGCCCTTGGGGCATGGAGGAAAAAGCTCTAAATTAAGGATCAGAATTCTATTGATGGTTCTGGCTTTGCACAATACTAGTGCTGAGAATATGGACAAGTTGATTAACATCTAAGTTTCAGTTTAACTGCAGACTATAAGAAATACTACTACTTGGGGAGAAACTGGGTAAACTGCAAGGCATTTTATAGAAATAAAACATCATTATTACTACAGATGGGTGGCAGATGGCATTTGGGGTGGAAATATTTTTCTTTTTGGTCCTGGGGATTGAACCCAGGGCCTTGTGCATGCTAGCCACACACTCCACCACTGAACTACAAACCCAACTCCAGGGGTGGGAAATCTTAAGTAAGAGAAAGAAAATTTAAAAATTACAAGCTTTACTGGTTTGAGTCTTTTCTCCTCCCTCAAGTTAAAGAATTAGACCCCTTTTTGTGTCAGTGATTTATCCTCTCTAGGAGACTTCTCTGATGTATACACCTGAACTTGATCCTACAAAGGCTCATGTGGAGGCCCTGACCCTTTCACATATTTACCAGAAATCACAGATCAAAGGAAATGTAGAACAAAAAACCCTTCCATTATCCTAAAAGAAGCCAATTAAGAGAAATATGAAAGATTTTCAATGTTCTAGGATGGAAATTATTTATATAGATTCTTGGTAGCAATCTGGAGAAATTACAAAATGCTGTGGTTAGTTGATAAAAGACTACAGTATTTTGATAATCCACCTAATTTATGATGTTATGTTGACAAAGATAAAAATCTTTATATCTTTTTCTAAGGGAAGTTAGAAGCAACAAAGAGTCTGGAAGACTTTGTAAGAAATGTGTCAGTTAAATTCCATGACTGATGGGCAAACTTTGAGAACTCACAATGAATATATTACATTGCAGCTAAAATTAAAGGAGAAAATAAACACCCTATAGAGATTAACAGGCTAACAGCTCAAGGGATCATTGCTATTCTGGAAGTCAGTGATGGAAGTATGTGAAATACAAAAAAAGAAATGTGAGCCCCCCACTGGTAGCTCACACCTATAAGCCTAGCTACTCAGGAGACACGAGATCTGGAAGATCATGGTTTGAAGCCAGCCTGGGCAAATAGTTCAGGAGACCCTATCTCGAAAAAACCCTTCACAAAAAAGGGATGGTGAAGTGGCTCAAGATGTAGGCTCTGAGTTCAAGCCCCAGTACAGTAAAAAACAAAACAACAACAACAACAAAAAAGTAAACTGCTACATGATTGTACATCTATTCCTAAGCGTATCTTGTGACACACTTAGGAAATCCTGGGACGCACTTCAGAGAAAAGATTACTCTAGAATAGTCTGGGGGATCATTTTTGCCTGGGAGTGCCTTGTCTGAAATCATTTACCTGTAATCACAGAAAAGTGAATAGTTCAAGATTGTGGTAAATTTGGAAGTATATGTACTCATTAAGATACTAATTATCCTTATACTTTACAGTTTACTATTGTTGAGTGATCACTAAACAATCCAAGAAGAGAATAGGAAAAATTAATGCTCAATCAGACAGGTATCAAAATCTCTTGCTTTACACTGGGGGCGGTGGCTCATGGGGCAGGGCGCCTGCTTAGCAAACAAAGTCTACTGTATCAAGGAAGCAATGTCTGAAAACGAAAGAAAGACACTCAAAATAATTTACTTCAAAGCACTCCTCAATTTGACTGAGGATGGACAACAAAGAAGACTAAGGAAGGTTTTCTCCCTTTGGAGAAACGCCTTCAGTTTTTATGAGAAAAGGCTAAAAAACATGGGTTCATAAAACTAAAAGTCAAGAGTTTCTCCCACTTGGCTAGTCTTCATGTGGGCAAAACCACTATTTGAGGCTGCCCTCTAGGTGGGAAAGTACTCTCTTGTGGGCACCAAGGGTGAGGTGGGCGGGACTTATTTATTTTCATGTTGAGTCACTAGATCTTTCAACAAGCTCAATTTCAAAAAGCCTGAGGAGTGAACTACATGCCTCAAAATAAAGCTAGCTCAGTCTATTTTGTTTTTTCTGAACATTTTACAACAGGTGCAGGCTGAGTAAAAAGACAGGTTTTCTCCCCGACCTTCCTCCAAAATCTTTCTGGGCAGAAATGGGGATGAAAGAGAAATACAGCATAGGCTGTTTTCTGATTCATTCTTGGTCTGGTGCCAGGCACATTCATTGGCACAGAGGCTTCCTAGGGCAATTGCCAGCAAGAACTGCTCCTGAAGGACTATATTGCAACAAACTCAAACCACAGTAGATCCCAGAAGCCTTCCTTGTAGCCAGGCTTGCTGTCTGGATGAGATGCTACATTTACCTCTTTTTCCCGCTGGGGTTACATAAACATAACTGTCTACTTTGAGTTAGGGTGAGTAACAGAAGCTAAGATGAAATTTTACTCCATACCCAAAGACTATAGAAATTTGTGTTTTAGACGGTAAAATTTTGTTTCAGGTTGTAAAATTCTGATTTTACATGATTAGTAGGAAAATAAAATTCAAGTAATAGTTTTTAATAAAAATGTCAACTACAAGATAAAGGACTAATTGTGTTTCCTAAAGTTATACTTAGGGGAAAACCTACTTTAGGTTTAAAACTGAACTATGTGATTCCTAAAGGAAAGTCTGTCGTACAGAGTACTACTGTTGCATTTGGTATTTTAAGCCAAGGACTCAGACCCAGTGAAAGGTAACAAATACGGACAGTGGTAATGACACAGATACATTATGTGTGTGTTTTGTTAACTGTATATTACACACTTGATCTGCAATTATCTAACTGCCTATGAATACTGCAGCAAAAATAATTTTCTCAAGCAAAGTGTGCTAATTATTCCAATTATCTTAAGAGCACTGACTTCAAAGTCTGGGGGTGGCAAAATAAAGACCCTTTTACTCATAGTTGCCCTTGTCTAATTAAAATAGATGGTACAATTCTGAAAATGGCATGCTTTCCTGATCCTTCAGGCCATGTTGCACATCGGTAATAAAAAGAAACTTTCAGAAGTTTCAACCCATATCAGCTCTTTCAGCCTCAACTCAATCAAACCTATTAAAACAGGCAAAAATCTCTTTTGGTGAAGGACCCTTCCTGATTTATCAGAACCTGATTTGTCTTGATTTTGAGTTTAGTAAATTCAATTTAGCCAAGTTATCCTTTCTTTAGAAACTGCAGCAAACAAATGCATTTTCTTTACCTAACTATATACCTCTTTTTTCTTGATTATGAGCTCAAACTTTTGTTCTGCAGCAAATTTCACATTCTTATTCAGATACGCTCAAAAAACCAGTATTCTTGTGTGGTCATTAGTACCTAATGTTCACTGTGATAGCAGAAATGATCCAGATATCAAGAAGTGTCATGAGAGGCTCCTTAACTGATAAAATGTGATAGTAAAGGTAGCAGTAGAAAATTTTTCTTTACCGCCTGCTGACAGTTCATTCCAAGGTTCCCCTTGTCTCCACGAACTACTTTCATCAGACAGTGCAGGGTTCGCCCTTTCCGATGTAATCCAGAACAGTGGTGCTCGATCTCCCCACGACAGCTCAGGATGATCTCAGGGCTCAGAGAGAAGTCTTCCATCAGCATGCGCCGGTAATCTAGCATCTCCCCCTGGCACTCACTGCTCACTTGTCGCCCTGAGTTAGGACACAAGTCACACACAATACTGGTGAACTTGAGGATCAGAAATCACCACATATAACAAAATGTAAAATGCATGTTTTTGTCTGGAATAGAATATGTCACTTATCCTAATATCTAGACCGAAAAGCTTTAATAAGCACAAAGCAGACTTAAATGCTGGAGACTCAGGTTTATCCTATCAGTATTGTACATTATACAGATTTTGTACTCCTAAACTAGTAAAATAAATGCTTTGCCAGTGGAAGTGCTTATTCATTTATTTGGTGCTAGGGACTGAATCCACAGCCTTATGTACACTCAGAAACAATAAGCCACTGAGCTGTATCCCTAGTCCCAGAAATTTTACCAATAAGAGAACTACTGGGAGATAAAAGGAACTCTCACCTCTGTGCACAGCTGACTCCAGGCACATTAGAAGGTAGGAGAGCCTGGCTTCCCGAGAGCGAGGAAGGTTTTCCACATTGCACCGGTATTTCTTTAAGTCACTCTTGCAGGATTTGGCCAATGAATAACTGACTTTATAATCCTGGGCAATGAGCTTCTGGCGGGTCGTTAGTGCTTCTCTACACTGAGGAAAGAGTACAGCAAAAGTAATGCCACTTGTGTGGCTCAGCAATTTACATGGACCTCTGAGACAAGTGGAAACTTAATCCCACACATGTCAACTGCAGTCATTACTGAAATGTCTGTCTGTAAGTTTGGTTAAAATTTAGCACAGGTGTGCTAAACTAGTGTGGCAAGAGGTAGGAGTAGCTGGGCGCCAATGGCTCACAGCTACTGAGCCATAGTAATCCTAGCTACTCAGGAGGCAAAGATCAGGAGGACTGTGGTTTGAAACTAGCCTGGGCAAATAGTTCTTGATATCCTATCTAGAAAATACCCAACACACACACACACACACACACACACGCACGCACGCACGCACGCACGCACGCACGCACGCACGCACGTGGAGTGGCTCAAGGTGGAGGCCCTGAGTTCAAACCCCAATGCACACACAAAGAGGTAGAAGTACATGGGTAGGAAACCCTGAAATGACAGTGAACTGCTAACTGTTGCTACAATAGCAGTTGTCCTAAATGTATAAATGTTTGATAAATTGTAATACATTAATTTGACACAAAGTGTTCTTTTCCTTTTCAACCATAATCCTAGAATAAATCTTATCAGAATCAAAGTGGCAACTGACAATAACACTTGAATGTTCCATTTTATACTTTTATCAGACAGTAAGTAGTAAATAGTAAATAATATAAGGAAACCTAAATGATAAACATTTCTTCAGCTGCACAGGAAACTAAATGATAGGAATGACAAATTAACTTTAAAATGAGATCTTGCATTCTTCCAGGCACAGGACTAACAATGAGAACATTTAATGAGAAAGCTAATGAAAAATTAAACAGAAGGTTACCTGAGAGGCATACTGGTTTGGTTAGCCTAAACTGCAAGATATGTAGTGTTGGCATCAGTGGGATTCTGATACAAAATTTTCCAATTTTACTTCCCAAATTATCTTTAATGACTTCCCACGGTCTAGATACCACAATTAGAGCTTCATTTTCTTGGCATAAGCCAATTTTTTTTGGAGATAGGGTCTCACTATATAGTTCAGGCTGGCCTCAAACTGAATACTGGGATACAGGCATGTATCACCATACCTGTTGCCCAAAAATGCTTTGTTCTTCTACTTAAACACAAGTGTTTCACCTTTGAAAAGGGAATGCTCATTCATATTTTGTATGTTCAGCCCTCTGTATTCACAAAATGAAAATATTCAGGGGAAAGAAAATTATGTCTATACTAAACATGTATAGATGTCTTTCTTGTCATTCTCTTAACAATACGGTACAACAACCATTTACATATCACTTACATAATATGAAGTATTGTAAGTAATCTACAGGTGATTTAAAATACACAGGATTTTTGTTAGTATAGTGGTGAATAAAATAAAGTGCAGAAGAGGTGTGCATAGATTACGTGCAAAAGTTATGCCATTTTATTTAAGGGACTTGAGCATCCTTGGACTTTGACATCTGAGGGGGTCCTGGAACCAACTCCTTGTGGATACTATGGGACAACCATATAAGAACGAGTTTCTGAAAACTTTTAAGAAATTAATAAAATATCAGTTTGTTTCAAACTAATACCTTTTCACTCATGGATTCTTCAAATTTATGGTTAAAGAGGCACTTATACACTCTGCCTTCACCAGCTTGTGTCTGTAAGATAGAACATACACATTATTACTACTGCTAGCAAAATAGTTATGTTGCACATTATCCACAACTGTGAATGATGTGCCAAATGGGCTTCATTATGACATTTTCACATATGTGTATAATGTACTTTGATATTCGCCACTTCCATGTAGAACTTTCTATTAAATACGCTGCTAAAGAACCAAGAAGTGTCAGAGTGAGTCTCCTTTCTTACAACTTTTTGCTAGTCATAAAACTTATAATAAGTAGCTCTGATATTAATTAATGCTGTTAATTCAAGACAGCAGGCAGAGAGGAAGTATAAGTAACTTTGTTGTGAGGATGGAGACTTGTATTTAAAGTGTCAGAAAGCTGTCTATGGGCTTAGAGGGAGTAGTTTAGTGGTAAAGTGCTGGTTTTAGCATGTATGAAGTCCTGCTTTGAAAGGAGGGAGGGAGAAAAGGAGGGAAGGAGGGAGAGAAAGGGAGGAAGGAAGGAAAAAGAGACCATATAAATATATAATGTGTCAGTTTTAGCCACAGAACAGGTATGAACAGGAATCCCTGGTAAAACAAGATTCCTATAGATAAAATAGACTTCTAAGAAATGAAACTGAGAAAATGAGATAAAGTTGAAAAAATTACGTGTGGAAATTGTTGGAAGCCAACTGTTAGCTAGATGTTAAATCTTCAAGACTGAGCATCTTACACTATTGTCTATTATCTTGGGACTAATTCCATCTTCCATTACAGTGGCTTTTCTACATGTGAGGGTTTGTGACGGTTTATTTTATTTTGGAGCACAGTATTAAAGATATTTAAAGAGAAAAGGAAGAAAAAAAGATGAGCTTCTTAGCTGACTCACATTTTCACAAAAACGTTCCCGATCATCTCGACAAGCAAAATATAAATGGCGGTCTAAGTGAAAGTCATCAGAGGACAGCTCAGCCACCCGGAGAATGGCTTTCTTGCAGAGTTCAGAGACTTGAATCTTTGGTTCTTTCTCTTCTGCTTCCTTCACTAGGCCTTTCTCCAAGCATGACACCACCTCACCTTGTGAATGTGCATCCTAAAATAGCAAGGATACTAGTATTTTAAAACTTTCATCTCGTGGGTTTCAAATAAAAATCATTTGGTTTAAAAAAAAAAAAAAAAGTAACAATCCCCCAACATTATTATTACCCCAACAATATTCTGAGAATCAACCACACTGTGAAGTGAATGGCAATGCCCTCAACAGTCTTCACTTAGAATAACCATGCTGTATGCTACAAGTATAGGTTAGCACTAGAAATAAGATTCTAAATTTTAAAGTTTAAATGTCAAAAAATTCTTAAGAAAAGACAATAGCCGAATGCTCTGATCATACTTCATGTCAATATGAAATATAACATTGCAGAAATCTCTACACGTTGACTTCTAAAAAGCTAGGCATTTTCCAAATGCTTTCAGTCAAGTTAAAAAACAGCAGAGCTGGGGAAGTAGTTCAGTGGCAGCAATGCGCTTAACATGCACGAGATCCTGGGTTTGATCCCCAGTACAAAACAAAGCTCAAAATCCTTTAATATGTTATAAAGACCCCCTGGCCTTTCTTTTCTGCTCTATACAGTCCTCAAACAACACAGTATGTACCAGTGCAGTGTTACACTCACTTTGATGTTTTGAATTTATCGTAACACGACTTAACAAGATTATCCCATTTATACAAATTGTTTCTGAGAGTTTTCCTAAAACCATCCAATCACCTTTCATTTTGCACTGTACTGGGCTGGTGGAGTGGTTCAAGTGGTAAGAAGAAAAAAAAAGAAGCACTACATTATATTGTCTCATAGTAACACAACAATGCACTCAAACAAAATAGAAGAAATTTCCCCTAACTGCTTTGTATTCAGGAATAACCTTTTTTACTAGCTCTATGAATCTATCCAATGCTTAGAAACCTGGAATGACCAAAAAGTTCTGGATCGTTTTTTTTTTTCTTTCTTTTGAGACAGGGCCTCACTATTTAGCCTAGGCTGGCCTTGAACTTTTTTTTCTTTGTTTTTCTGTGATATTGGGGTTTGAACTCAGGGCCTCATGCTTGATAGGCGGGTCTCTATCACTTGAGCCACTCTGCCAGCCCTGGTATTTTGAGATAGGGTCTCCCAAACTATTTGGCAGGGCTGGCCTCAAACCATGATTGTCCTGATCTCTGCCTTCCGAGTAGTTAGAATTACAGGTGTGAGCCACCTGTTAGTTCTCCTGCCTCAGGCTCCTGAGTGCTGGAATTATAGCATGAGTCACCATAATTGGCTCTGATAAGTGTTTTTGGAGAGCAATTCTGAACAGAAAAATAAACATGATATTATAAAACAATGTACTATTCCAAATTTGAGTAGATCACAAAAACTTAAAATGGCTAACAGCTGATCTTTTTTCCTCTATTTAAAAAAATTTAGATCTTTATTACATATAAAAATATGTAAAGTCTATAGAACCACATTTTTACATATAAGAATCGAAAGAAAGCACTTGCAGTTTTCATCATTAGATCTGACAGACTATGGATCCCTCTGAGAAGCACTGTTATAAAGCATCAAAAGGAGGTTTAAAAAATAATAGCAGGTTAATTAACTTGACTAAATTTCAGTTTTTAATTTTGGCATTATTTGGCAAGGAAATGATTTCCATGTAATGAGTTGCTAAGTGTTTCCCTGTATATTTAGGGTCTATAATTGTTTTGAATATGCAACCAGAGAGATTAAATATTTAGGGCTACTATATTTCTTAATGGTTTTGTTTATCAGATTTTTTAAAATTAAAAATTTTAAACTCAGATCCATGGAAATCTGCCCTTTTCTTTTGACAATATTTATTTAGGAAATTCTAAAAGGTTTTGTTAATCTGTCTTTTTTGCTCTAAAATTTATATATATTAATAGTCTGGAAAAATTCACTCTATTTTTGAAATTCTGATATTTATATATTCACATAGAGACAGGGTACATCAGATTAAGCATGAGCCCTCTCCTCTGACCTCTGGAGGTCAGTTCAAAGCCAGTTACAGTTTTCAGATTTGAAGCTGAGAAGCTTATTCTCTTCTGTGGTCAGAAGCCAATTAGTGAAGTTTTATGGACTTTCTACATCTAAATAACTGGCTTTGGGGAAGCAAACTATAGTTAGAAAATGCAGGGCTGTGGAAGAAGGCAACATTTGCCTACCAAGTATCAGGCCCAGTTCAAACCCCAGTACTGCAAAAATAAACAGAAAGAAAAAGAAAATGCAAAGAGCTGAGGACATGCTGCCCTCATTTTAAAACATGGCTGTGGCACCAGCATGAGTTACATGGAGGGAGCATGCTTTTTCCATGAGGCATGAGCGAGTACATCTCACTGTTCCATAAACAGAAGCAAACTTGTGATGTGAAGGTGGACGTGGCACAAACAGAAATTTCACCTAACTGGTAGGTGCATCAAAAGATAAAATGTATCGGGCGTAGTAGAGCACACAGTAATCCGAGAACGTGGGAGGCTAAGATAGAAGGATCAAGAAGTTAAGGCCAGACTGGGCTACAAGACCCTGCCTCAAAAAAAAAAAAAAAAACATTGATGGTTCATGGAACTATCCTTTTGCTATTTTATCAGAGTTGAACAAACAATCTTGTCATGACCTTCAGTTCCAGCAGTACTATTTCCTGCAGTCATTTCAGCCACTGCAGATTTAGAAATTAGCTTATGCCTGCAGCTACAAACAGATTTATACAGATAATTCAGAGAACTGGGGGAAGCCAGTCAGCTATCATCCTGGTGGTCAACAGGCATGAACTACTACAAAGGGGGGAAATGAAATGGTCCACTCTATAGTGTGACCACTGATTGCAATGTGAGAAAGCGTCGTCACTGATTCCCAAAAAGTGTATCCGTAACACTGTGCAAATTTTAAAAGGAGGGAGGCTTGGCATCACACAGAATCTCCAACAACCTAAGTAAAAAGTCAAGCTTCCTGAATTATCAGAGTGAAATAGTACTTTTATGCCACTGCTAGTGTCTGTTGGGAAGGAAAAAAAAATTTGCTTTTATTAAAATTGGCCTTTCTTTGGCTGTCTGACAGCTTTATGCCAAGCTAAAAGATCTTTCAAGACTGACTCAGGCCAGGTATGGCAAGGAGGGGAGAGGAGGGGAAGAAGGGAGAGAAGAGGGAAGGGAAGGAGGAGATACTGACTCAGAAGTACCTATGCAAGGGGATAGGGCCCTGTGATGATATGGAGGACAGAGCATCAGGGCTTGGTGACAACCAGCCAACACCCAGCACTAAATCCTTCACTTGAGCAGGTGTGCTCAGATATAGCATTCATGTCAGGGACAAAGACAGCACAAAGAGACAAATGGATTTTGTTTTCCATCCTGTCCTAAACAACAGATTAATGAGCAGTAACAATTAATAGCTGATGCCAGAGGTATTTGTGCACCTTTCCCACTGGCATTCATTACTTTTCAAGAGGTTCTTTCATTTTTACTGAGCAAACAAATTCAGAATAAACTTGGGAAAACCTCCATTGTAACCTTCTGTACCATAGACTAATAATTTCAAACAAAATCAGCTATAATAGGGAAGAAGAAACTAGTTAAGTGGTTTCTGTCTTTACTATAATCTGAAGAACAGATTTATGAAGCACCAGTTTACAGAGCATTTTTCTTCTATATGTTAGAAGTACCTTTACATATCTTAAAGCTTTCTAACATTTAAATACCTCATTTTGTAGATGGAGACTAACCAGTGTGTTTGTTACATGATTTTTTTTTAATGGTAACAGTAGAATACATGCAGAAAAATATTAGAGAACTCAGGTCTCTCCTTTGCCAGATGCATGTTATAGGCAATATATTTTTTTTAAATAGGTAATGTTTTGAAGATTAAGCTACTCTTAATAGATATTAATTCCTCTACTTCCCATGTAGTACTGAAACACTGTTACAAACACATGAAATATATTCATAAGTCACTAAGGCTTAGATCTTAGGGTGCTCAGGCAAGTTTTTTTAATTTCAACTTTCAGATCTCCTCTAGTCCTTTTTCCCATGTGAGGTACACAATGGTTTTGATCTACAAAGTTCTTAAGACCCCCTCGTGAAGCCAATGTAGTAGATACCTTTTCCCCAAGCCGAATGCTGCCACACTTCAGTATGTTGATGTCATTTTTGCAATCATCCATAAAGCCACAGATCAAACGGTAATCACTGAAAATTATGGCTGTCATCTTGGTAATGTACTGGTGACACTGATACTCAGTGATGTTACCCCGGTGATCCACCAAGCAGGAAACCAGGTACCCTTTTCCAACTGGTTCATCAGCACATTCTTTAATCTGTTCAAAAGAAAGAGGCTGCTTTACACAAGTATTCTGTGAGTATATCAAACTGTTTTAAGGAAGATAAATGTTTGATATTTTCTTGTTGATTTCCTATTTCTTTACCTAGGAAAGAAAAAAATGTTTAGAAATGTATTCATTAAAAAAAAAAAGGGGGGCTGGTGGAGTGGCTTTAGCAGTAGAGCACTTGCCTAGCAAGCTCAAGGCCCTGAGCCTGAGTTCAAACCCCAGTGCCACCAAAAAAAAAAAAAAAAAAAAAAAAAAAAAAAAGCAGACAAACAAAAAAAAACCATCCTTAAAAAAAAAAAAAAAAGAAATACATTCATTTTAAAGAGAATGTACCATCCTGTGTTACGATGAGGACATAAATGTTGGTGTTTATCCAGGGCTCCTACCTCGCAACTTCCTCCATAAAAAACTAGAATCTCTTTTCCCTGTGGTAGGACAGAGAAACTCTAATACTTTTCATTTTTCTGAATTGGCACTCTGACAGGAGATCATAAAAACCCTTCTCATTTCATAGTCGTCCTAATCCATATCCTGGTGGGAGGAATACTGTACAGAGCGGTCAAGAAGAATGCTGATGCAGACAGGCCTTGTTGGGTATCCCCATCCAGTTTAGCATTAGATATGCAATAAAATCTCCATAAAAACCTGGAAGGACAGGGTTGGGAGCACTGCAGAGGTTTCTGGAGGGAAATGTACCTGGAGAGGGCACCGAGGCTATACGGCCCTTCTTGACCTATGCGTCTTATCCTTTTAAGTATCTTTTATAATAAGCTGGTGTATCCTGGAGTTCTGTGAGTCACTGAAGCAAATTACCAAACCCAAGGAAGAAGAAGTAAGGAATTCTGATTTATAAGTGGTTAGAAGCACAGGTAAAACCAGCCTGGGAGCAAGGCATGGTGTCCAATGCCTGTAATTCCTGCACTGTAGAGGTGACAGGATCATGAGTTTGAGGCTAGCCTGGGCTACAGAGCAAGACCCTGTCTCAAGACAAACCAATAACCCTTTCCCACCTGCCCCCCACTCCCCCCAAAAAAATCTGGGGTTTCTGACTAGAACCTAAAAGTGGGGAAAGGGAGAGCCTTGAAGACTGAGCCCTTAGTGGGATCTGAAGCTGTCTCCAGGTGGACACTGTCAGAATTAAACTGAAGCAGAGGACACTAGCTACAGTTTACAGAAAAACATACTGTTTTCCCTAGATACACATCCCTACTCAAATTATTGTATCTTCTAGGAAAAATCAATTAATGTCTTCTGCAAGAAGTTCTACCAAATGCTTAGGTACAAACTTGTTTCTAAATGGAGTAACTAACAGAGTTAATACTGACAACTTTAAGAAATAGAGAAATCCATTTAACCATGCAAAGAATGCAGTGGTCATGAATGTAGCGGAGATGAATTAGGTAGCAGGTCTGGGAAACAGGTGTAGAACTGAAGTCTAACTGCATATCCCAACCCAAGCCTCACAGCAAATCTAATGGCCAAAATGAGAGAAAAGGGAAGGCATCATATTACTTTCTGACATGACATTAAGGTGCTCTGAATTAACTATGGATTTGGACATGTATTTCTAAACTTACTAGAATGCAAGTTTCACTGCTGTGGTCTGGTACAGAAACATGTTTAATACAATATCCAGTGCAGTCTGGCAAGCATCTGAGGAGGGGAAAGCCAATGCAAAGCTAGTTTGTCTAGTGGATCAGGCAGTGATTCCACATGGCTGGTGCTCTGTGAAGTACATCCCAGACCACAAAGCTAATGAAGTAAACTAGGTCCCCCCAAAAAAGCACAAATTCAGGCATAAAGATGAAATCTATGTGTATGGCTATACACGTGAATTAAAGCAGAAGGTTTTGCATTTAAGGAAATTAAAAACAATCACAGGACTAGAGACGTAGCTCAAGTGGCAGACAGCCTTCCTAGCAAGTGCAAGACACCAAATTCAAACTCCAGTATTTCCAAAAAACTCCCCAAAAAACAAAAACACAAAGATAAAAAACAAACAGAAGTGGTGGTTTTGACAAGAGGAAGAGAGGAGGGAGCCAAATGTAAATGCTCTTTTTAAAATTTATTATTAATTATTAGTATTATTTCTGTGGTACTGGGGTTTGAACTCAAGGCCTACACCCTGAGCCACTCCACCAGTCCTTTTGTGATAGGTTTTTTTGAGATAGGATCTCATGAACTATTTGCCCAGACTGGCTTTGAACCACTATCCTCCTGAGTAGCTAGGATTACAGGTTTGAGCCACTGGTACCCGGCTTAAATGCTTGTTTTGAATATAAACCCAAAAAGTGTACCAGTTCTTTTTTTTTTCCTTTATTTTAAACCAATGGAGACCATTCTCCCCTACCATATGATTTATTTTAAATACATATTTAAAATAAATAATTATAATATAATTATTATAATTAATATAATAATTTGTTTTGGGGCAAAACAAATATAATCTCCTTTTCTAAAAGGTGCTGGGTGAAGGATATTCCACAAGTGACCCTATAGACAACTTGGGTCTCTTCATGTCTAACTGCTATACCAAATTCAGACTAGGTAAAAAAACCTCATTTTTAAGTCAGAAAATTTTGTTAACTTTTAAAGAAGCAAACTTGGGCATTTAATAGTCACACACTGGCTTCAGAGGCAGTAGTTATTCAACAATCAAGGTGAATGTTCTTCCAGCTTAACCTTGAGCACTTTTTTGTGATGTGTAAAAACAAGACCATGAGTGTATTTTTTTTTTAAAGCAAAATAGAGTTAAGGTTCAAAAGTGAAAGGTAAAATGGCTGCTTGAAAATCCCAGCATTTGTAACTCAACCATCTAAAAACATCTTGTATAAAATATAGGCCCATTGGCAGGTTTTAGAAGTTAATGGGGGTAGAAAAGCATTCACATAGGTCCCAATACTGGATAAGCAAAGTTTGAAAATCTGCAGAAAAATCGAGAACAAAGTTCGAACTGGAGCCCCAATAATCAACTGAAAGTTTATTTAGCTACCACTTGAGGATTTACAGAAACACAGAAATGTTGCCACAGGGTAATCAAACTGATATATATTTTTAATGCTGATCTTAGAATGGGATAAAACAAGCCTAAAATGTGCCTAAAAAAGAAAAAGCTTGTAACTGATAGTTCATAAGATAGTGGGAATATACGAACATGTACAGTTCAAGCCTAGGGTCATTTCCTTATTAGTAGTCTTTCTCTTATTAAGCAAACACCTCTCCTCATGGTGTTTTAAAGTTGGAGGTTTAGTCATATAACTAGCTAAGGGAGTTTGAGATGTACAATATTAAAACTGGGAGGTAAAGATCAATTTTCCAAAGATATGCTATTCTGTTCTGAAGCCCCAAGATAAATATAAAGGGTCATGGATTTAAAAGAATAAAATGTATCTGATACAGTACTAGAAGGCTTCAGAAAGAAAGTCAGTTCTATCAGACCCCAAAATGACCAAAATGAGGACCATAAACTAAGGGCTTACCTGGGTGGGTCAGGATCTTCCTTCAAGAGCTGTGGAGAAACTAACCATGACTTATGTCATCAATAGCATTAACTTGAGGGCAGATTATTATGTTGCAAGATTTATGACTATAACTTTGAGGTGAAAAAATAGCAACTGTTTTTCCTCTTTGTAATTACGCAGAAATTTCAGGCTTTTTGGATTTTCTATTTCTGATTCAAAAAAACCTGCCCCATGGCTGGTGAAGTAGTTCCAGTGGTAGAATGCCTGCCTAGCAAGACTGAGTTCAAAAACCAAAAAACAAAACCCAAAACAAAAAAGAAATTTCAACTACAACTTTCATTAATATCATTTGTTGTTTATACTGAGACAAAATAAAATAATTTAAAAATTTCCCCAATTAGTATCTGTATAGTGCTATACATTCTCATGTACTATTCTTTATATACAATATCAATTTGTAATTATATAAATACTCATGCTCTTAATCTTTTTAGCACTAACTCCTATTATTTGAAGCATGTGACTCTGTAGTTCAATAGGTCCAACTGCAAGGTCAAAACATTTAGGAAGGTTTATAAAAGGGAGGGAGGGGTAGACAGATGATTGTGATTTGCCTCAGTCAGGGCAGTCTGTGAGAGGTAGGAGAGCAGTGCTGATAACCTCAGCAGCTGCACTACATGTATGGGGACCAACTGAACCTGATTTCCAACTGTTTCATTCAGTAGCATCCTACTGTAAGTGTAGGCTGGGTGTTAACAAAATGGAGTCTAATTATACCCCTCTTCCTATGTCTCAACCAAGACAGATGCAAATTACAAGAAAAGTAAGGTTACTGAGTCATTTTTCTCTTAATGAGGGGGCTGGTCACAGATGCATTTTCTCTTCTAAGTCACTAAATAAAAACAAAATCTTTTATGAACCTACCTCTGATATGGTTGATTTGCAAACCTCTCTGGCCACAGACTCAAATTTGGGATCAGTAGTCAGGTTCAACTTGTAATTCCATAACAACTAGGTTCAAAGGGGAAAACAAAACAAAGGGAGAAAAAAAAATCCAGTTAGAAAAGTATGAAATTTATCATTAGTGGTTACTATAAATAAATAACAAAAAGCCAATTAGACCATCAGATAAAGCATATTTACATGTCCAATAACAAATAAAAAGATAAAATAACATGACACAGATTAAAGTAAAAAACATACAAACAAAATTAAAGCAGTACCATACTGACATATTTTTTCTTTTTTACTAAAGGATATTAAACAAAACCCTATGAATTAAAAATTGACTATCAAAAACTTAATGAAATCCCAATATAGTTTTCTGAGAAAATATAAACAGACTATATAAGGTAACTTCTGCTACAGTCAAAAAGTCTAACCCAGAAGCTCAGAGGTGGTGGGTTTTGTCTCAGATCTCACAACCAACAGTGCTTTCATAGATCAGTTTTATGAAGGAGAGTTGTCCATGGTCTAGTTTCTAGGCATATCTATCTTCATTCATTTAAAACACTTGACTTGACCATATCCACAAGGCCTACTTTACACAATATATTGTTTTAACATGTTTTAAGCTAGAAAATATCTAATGCTGCTATTATTCCCAGATGAGTACTGAATACTACTTTATCTGTTTGGCTTCAGTTGAAAAATTTCAGGAAGTCATCCAATTTCTGAAACGTAGCAAAATTAAGCCTTCAAACTGTTCAGGAGAGACAAAACAGAGGCTTCGGATAATGTAGAGATCTTTTTTGGAGAGGTGTCCATTCCTTTCTGACTGCCACACTTCAGGATAAAAGTATACAACCAGTCATTCACTGGATCAGTAAACCATCTACTTAGCACTTCCGATGCACCATGCACAGTCTGATCTCTAGGAGCTTCATAGGCTATTGGAGGAGAAACAGAGGCAATTGTTTACTATGTGCCAGGCACTTTGTTAGGAACTGGGGCATAAAGACCCAGGCTATCCAGTGGTGGCAATGATCAATAGCAGGAAGTGGATAATAGCCTAATGAGGGGCCATGGCCTAACAGGGGAGGAGTACCCCAGATGGAGGTGGGATGAGGGAAAAAATGGAAATATGAAATCTGAAAGGTCAGCAGCAGCAGTCAGCCAGATTAAAAGGTAGAAAGGTCTGTTTTAAACAAATGAAGCAGCCTGCATGGAAGCAGGGTGTGTTAAAGGAATTTCAAGTCCCAGGGAGGACAACTCAGGAGAGGAAGCTAGGGCCAGATCAGAAAGTCCTGCAAGCCATGTCTAGACTTCAACCCCAGAATAATGGGGAGTCACTAAAGGGAAAGTAAGGGGTATGATATGACTAGATCTGCTTTAAAAAGTAAAGAGGAGGGATATACATAGCGCTGTCACCACAACACAGAAATAAGCAGTTAACTCTGTGTGAGTGCTAAGGAAGATTTGGTGAAGCAGGAGAAAGATGAGTAGGGTTTCTTTTCTTCCTCCTCCGAAAACACAGTATAAAACTCTAATCTCCCATCACTAGTGCACTTAGCCATAGCACGACAAGAGAAGGAAAACTGGAAAGAAAATAAGCAATAAGAACAGAACAGTGTGGTAAATGTGCTAACAGAAGCATGTAAAGGATGTTTTGGGAGCAGAAAAGAACACATCTGGACTGGAGGTGTGGCTAAGTGGTAGAGCATCTGCTTTGTAAGCATGAAGCCCTTAGTTCAAACCCCAGTACCACAAAAAAAAAAAAAAAAAAAAAAGAACACATCATCTCAGTGAATGGAGGAGGAAGAGGGGCATATGGTAGCATAGCTCAATTTACAAGGATTAGAAGGACTCTGTTGATGAACTAAGGAAAATTAGGGTAGCAGGTGTGCAAAGGCAGAAAGAACAAAAAGAGTAAGGATAACTTATGGGAATCACCTGTAGTTCAGAATGGCTGGAATTGACAGTATGAAAGATTGGGGGTGGGGTGGGGTGAGATCACAGAGTATTATAGTTCATATCAAAAATTTTGAATTTTAGCTTAAAGGAAATGGGAACCTACTAGATAATTTTAACCAGATAACTCAAAAGATCAACTCTGATTACAGTATACAGGAGAGCGAGAGATTAGGTCAGTGAGGTTAAGAGACAACTGCTGATTTGGAGCCTCCTAGTGCTCCACAGTCTGTGTTCTTAGAAAGAGGAGGCAAAGTAAACCTACCCCATCTACACCTCAGCCCAGGCCCTGTGCCTGGTCTGTATTGTGAATGGGGGTAGGGAGGAGGGCAACAGAAAGAACTGATTTGGATGGAAGAAAATATTTGAACCCTGATTATAGAACTGGGGTGTAGGGGATGAAGGAAAACCCTGCCTTCATAGTCAAGTTCTTTGAAAGTATAGTATATAGCTCATTTTATCTATTTCCTCTTCTATATTTTAAATGAAAACTACCTGTTAAGTCAAATGCTACTTGTGACTCAAGTAGCCCTGGGTTCAATCCCCTGTACTGTGAAATTAAAAAAAAAAAAACAAAAAACCAAAAAACTAAAAAACAACCAAACAAAAAATGTATCTAGAAGTCCAGGAGAGAACTGAGGATGATCTGGCCCAAGGAGATAGTGATAGTGGTCAGATTCGGGATATATTTAAAAAGAAGCAGTGAGAATGACAGGAAGGAACCAAGGTTTTTGATTTGAGCAACGGGAAAAACATGAACTACAGACTGATATGGGAAGACTATAACAGGAGAGGGTTTAGGGGCTCGAAGTTAAGAGTGAGGTTTGGAAAACGAACACTAGACAAAAAAGAAATATGGACTCAGCAGATAGGGTCTGGAATTCTGTGGAAAGAGCTGGGCTACAAAAAACACAGAAACCACAACTGCCAGTAAGGTCATGTCAATTGTCCCTTTACAATGGAAGCCATCTAAAGGGACCTTCTCCCCAAAGGGACATTCCAGCTGTGAGAAGACAAGACACCATGGCACGAGAAGAACATACCTTCACTTAGAAGTGTCACACACATAGAAGCCAGAATCTTTTTAACCCTCTGAGGACAGCTTTCAGGGTCTGCAAAGTATACACCCAAGTGTGGGAGTCACCCCATTCAGAGAAGCCCAAGTATGGGAACCTTTTAGGGTATCTGTAATTTCTTAGTAGTTTTTCCCAGTCCATATAAATTTTACTGACTTATTTCTATCATAAACAATGCTGCCTGGAAACTTATTTAATATTTTACACTTATCAGGTTAAGAAGAGCACTGCGCTAAGAAGTCATTGTAATTCAAATTCTCATGAAGAAGGAGGAAAGGTTTTACTCATACAGCTTTCGAACTGCTACAAATGTCCTACATGTGCCTTTCTGGGCAGATAAATAAGCACTTCCATTGAGTAAATATCTAGAAGTGAAGTATCTGTGTAATACATTATATTTATGCTTGGCTTTAGTTAATAGTGTCAAACAGCTCTCTTGTTCATGTTCATACTAATACTTGGTAGCAACACTGTCAATCTTTTCAATTGTAGCAATTCTAAAAGTGTAGGTACCTGACCACTGATGAGGTTGAGCACTTTTTCAATGTTTGTTATTCAGATGTCATCTGTGAGACAAGGCTGGTCAGGTCTCTTATCCATTTTTTCTTTTAATTAGTTTGTATCTTCTTTACTGCTTTCTGTGCATTTTCTATATATATTCTGGATATATTTTCAGATATATTGAAAATATTTTGTCCACTCTGGCTTGCCTTTTTTGGCAGCACTGGGATTTGAATTCAGGGCCTCACTCTTGCTAGGCAGATGCTCTTACTGCTTAAGCCATTCCTCCAGCCCTTTTTTGTGATGGGTTTTATTGAGATAAGGTCTCATGAACTATTTGCTGGGGCTGGCTTTGAACTGCAATCCTTCTGAACTGTGCCTCCTACGTAGTTAGGATTACAGGGGTGAACCAACGGTGGCCTGGTTGCCTTTTCACTCTTAATATTGTCTTTAATAAAGTAAAACTTTCAAAGTGGCACTAGGGATCTAGGCAAATGCTCTATCTCTGCACTACATTACCAGCCCCAATAAAATAATTTTATGGAAAAACAGTCTTCCATAATTTTTCAATCTTTGCTTTGTGCTTAGTGCTTTTGGTTTCTTATTTAAGAAATATTTGTCAATCTTAAAGTCATGAAGGTATTCTGTTACTTCCTAGTTTTGCTTTTCACATTTGGTTACAGAATGAATTTTCTGTGAATAATAGGCAATAAGAGCTAAGGTTCCTTATTCAAGTATTCATATACATGTGTGGCCTGTTTCTGTCTCATTATGTTCCACTGGTCTACTGCCACCTGGCTTAATTACCACTACTTTACATTAACTTTTTTTTTTTTTTTTATCATTCATATGTGCATACAAGGCTTGGGTCATTTCTCCCCCCGCCCACACCCCCTCTCTTACCACCCACTCTGCCCCCTCCCTCTCCCCCCACCCCCTCAATACCCAGCAGAAACTATTTTGCCCTTATTTCCAATTTTGTTGTAGAGAGAGTATAAGCAATAATAGGAAGGAACAAGGGTTTTTGCTAGTTGAGATAAGGATAGCTACACAGGGAGTTGACTTGCATTGATTTCCTGTGCGTGTGTGTTACCTTCTAGGTTAATTCTTTTTGATCTAACCTTTTCTCTAGTTCCTGGTCCCCTTTTCCTATTGGCATCAGTTGCTTTTAAGGTATTTGCTTTAGTTTCTCTGTGTTAAGGGCAACAAATGCTAGCTAATTTTTTAGGTGTCTTACCTATCCTCACCCCTCCCTTATGTGCTAAAGCTTTTATCATGTGCTCAAAGTCCAATCCCATTGTTGTGTTTGCCCTTGATCTAATGTCCACATATGAGGGAGAACATACGATTTTTGGTCTTGGGCCAGGCTAACCTCACTCAGAATGATGTTCTCCAATTCCATCCATTTACCAGCGAATGATAACATTTCGTTCTTCTTCATGGCTGCATAAAATTCCATTGTGTATAGATACCACATTTTCTTAATCCATTCGTCAGTGGTAGGGCATCTTGGC